AGCTCCAGATCTGGGGGCAGGTATATAACCCCCCCCACTCACCTTTCTTCCTCTTCTTCCTTCTCTTCTCTCTCTCAACTCTGGACTCACCCATCAACGTGCACCTTGACTCACCTCTGGACGTATACCTTGACTTGCCTTGTTTTTTATGTTCGTGAAGCAGGTCTCACATCAGCCGTGCTGTTCTTGCAAGACAGTAGACCGGCCCACTGCATGGGCACGATCCTGGCAATTCGCTCGTTGATTATGTGGGGACTGATCATCCTGCTGTTTGACTTGTGGTTGTTGGGGTTTAAGACCCACGGTGGGCGACGGGCCCGTCAGCCTCGCAAAAAGTGGCAACACGAGCGGGGATGGCCACTGACGCGTGAGCTGCCATGTGTTATCACTTCCTTATGTTCCTAACAGACATGTGCACCAATTTTTCGTTTCCCCCATCATGATATCACGAATCATGAACTTGATCCTGTCTGCCTGTGTGTACCTCCTTTGCTCTCGTGGGGTTATTGCACTGGTCAGACTTGATTCACTTCCCACTCTTCCCACCCTTCCCACCCTTCCCACCCTCACTTTTCCCACTCTTCCCACTCTCACTTTTCCCACCCTTCCCAACCTTCCCACTCTCACTTTTCCCACTTTTCCCACACTTCCCACTCTCACTTTTCCCACCCTTCCCACTCTTCTCTCTCTCAAGTCTGGACTCACCTCTGGACCTCTGGATGTATACCGTGACTTGCCTCTGTTTGCTCTGGTCCACGTTCTATCTACTTTGCGAGATACCAGGGGGCTGGCCCGCCCTTTGGGCACTGGGCTGGCTATTCTTCTACTCCTCAGGGCGGGGGCGGGGACGGGGAGTAGAAGGGTCCTTTATGCCTGTTCAGTGATTCTCCACTTTACGGGGCTCTAGGTCGGAAACTCAGGCCCATAACTGCTCTGGTACAGCTGGTAGCTTGATCTGGGCTAGTTCAAACAAGCACCAATCTTTTGTTCCCCCCTCTCATGATATCACGAATCATGAACCATTATCCTGTTTTCCTGAGTACACCCCCCTTGCCCTCGTGGGGCTATTCTTGAATCCATGGATGCAACTCCAGTGTACATGTGTTATTTGCACGTTACATTGGCCTTTCTCTCCTTACTATAATCCATGAATCGATCTATCCTTCTTGTCCCAATCATTCCACACGTACGGACGTAAGAGGGAGCTCGCTCCTACCCTCCTAGGATATTAATTAAAACAACAACGACAACATCAATCAGCCCACAGCTCTACAATATGATAACCGACTAAGGGCTGATTGCAGTGCCCATGCTCACACCGGAGCTGTCTCTCCCTCAACCGGGCTTTCTAATCAATATGAATTCCCATCATTCACCCACCTGCATAATGGGGGTATAATCGTGGAACGTAACAACCACGATCTGCACCTCGGGAGATCTACGGGAAGTGGGTTGGGATAAATCAATCGGCCTTGTGCCCTGGTTCCTGACAGAGCCTCATGTTGACTACTGGGTATAGTCTACTGCGTATGGACTCGCATCTAGACGTTTTGTGATGAAGATAGATGATGTAGTGACATCAATGACAGCAATACAAGGAGCGATCACATTGTCATAGGATTGCATAGAAGGCTCATCAGAAAGAACGCCAGCATCAAGGGACACAACCACGAATACTGTTAGGGTAGAAGCGAGATGCGGAAGAAGATGATGATATTGGGTGGTGTCTGTCGCTAACTAGATAGAGGACACGTCACACCTACTGTCCTGTGATCAAGGCGCTGGACATTCCAACACCGGGTGGGACAATTCCACATGAGCCACGCTGCCCACTGTCACCATCCTCGTCATTGTTGTCATCTGGCTCTCGCTTGATAGCTACCACCGGTCAGTATCCTTGTGCCTCAAATGAACCGGGGAATCGTACATGGAAGAGGAGCGTTCATGCAACGCCGCTTGGCCAGTCGCCGACGTGTAGCCGCATTGGGTCGCGCCTTGCGCTTCTTGGGTACGGTGCTCTCCTTATAAACCAATGTTAGCATCAAGCCGAATTTTAGTCGCTGATCATCAAGCATACCTGAGCTACCAGACTCGGCATCAGGACGAACTTTGATCTCAGTGCCACACTGAGACTCGTTGGCCGGAACACTGCCTCTTTGCGGCGCGTTCGTGCTCACACGCTCAACCTAGAATCCCCGATGGCGGGGTTGGGAGCCTCACCAGCTGGGTGTACTTGCTTGGGCTGAGGCTCGCGTTAGAGCCGCTGCCAATGTACATTGGACCGGTGGGTCTCACGATGGTGATGAACTGTAGTTCAGGTTGGGCCCGGGAGGAAGTATGTGGCTTCGAAGTAAAGCCATGAATCAGTAGAGATGGAAGTGGAAGGTATGATGTGGGAGGAGGAAAGAAGGATGGAGTCGAGATCCCAGCTTTTATAGGCAGCAAATGAGAGACTACCGAGCAAAATGAGCTGTATCTCGGATAATGCTTGCTTTATCCAGTGATTTGAATACATTTACTGCTATTTTTGAACAAGACTGGTGTGGGGTGGCTTTCACTTTCCAGTCCGTCATTGAGACAGATTCACAGTGGGGTGGATTCACTAATCACTAATGCAAGTCTCAATAGTAACGGAGTGTAACTCGTTCTAGGTCATTGACAGAGTTCAAACGATGAGTTCCCTGACTTCCCTAGTCATCCTGGTAGCAGGGGTATGCTATTGGATGTTGATGGGCTGGTAAGGATGTGATATGCCATGACGGGTATGCATGATGAAGGCTAAGTATGATGACGGGGCACAGGGGAACGAAAAACGGGTGTCGCTCAATGACGGGGCAGTTGAATGACGGGGCAAATTCAGTGAAGATTGTAGATCCGCTTGTAGCAATCACTTTCCTCGGTGTTCCTTTTATCTTCAATGATGGACTCGTCATCAAAAGTCTTGTCTGTGTCCTCGTTGGCACCTATCACTCATCAGCATATTGTTGTCTTAGATACAAGAAGCAATATTACCCAGTGCATAACGGCCGCGCTTCTTCTTATCTCCAGATGGAGGCCAAGGCTCAATGGGATCTTCTGATAAAGTCTCTTCTTCCACAGGATCACGTATGCTTGTAAGCGCAGGAGGCCATGGCAAACTATTCACTCCGAAAAGATCGACCTTGTTTGCACGTTCAGAAGGGGGCCAAGGTTCAATGGGATGTTCAGGTAGAGTCGCATGTTCGACAATACCACGCTTGATCGCGCCTCCTGGAGATGGTTGCGGGGTTTCAGCGTGACCTGGCCGAGCGTGACGGCCGAAAGGGCCCTGGCCAGCTAGATCGCCGGCGGCCCATAGGGGGTTGATATGGGCTGGTGCAGCCTGCCGTTCGTAAAGGTGAGAGCTCCCCTGTTCTGGCCAAACACGGCGTCCGAGGGGTCCGGAAGGGCCCCGGCCAGCTGGATCGCCGGCGGCCCATAGGGGGTTGGCATAGGCTGGTGCAGCCTGATGTCCGTAAAGGTCGGGGTTGTCCTGGTCAGCTGGGGGGCGCTGGCCCTGGTTGAGGGTGACGATGGAATCGCCCCCGATGTAGATGGGGCCTGTCGCTCCCACTATGGTCACGTAGACCGTGGTTGGGTAATACCCAGGAGGAAGGACGTGACTTGGAATAAAGGACATTGCTTGATGGATAAAACTTGGAAGTGCGATCCAATAAAACAGCTGAACGAAAGCTGAGAAGAGGTTGAAAAGAGAAAGGAAGGATGGGGTCGAGATCTTGGCTTTTATGGGCAGCAAACGAGATGTGACTACAGAGGTTGGTGATCTTTGTACCAAATTACTTCATCTTTTTCGGTAATTATACTATGTTCACTGCTGTTTTCGACGAAGAATAGCTTGGGGTTTATAGAAGTAAAGACTCCGCCAAGAAGAGAGGAACGACACCGATTCGCAGCATCCCGGCCCCACTGGGTCATTACCATTGCTTCTTCTTCACTTCGCCCCAGATTCTTCCAATATATTCCCAGTCCGCTCTCAGAACGGTCAAACCAAGACACTGGATGGGAGATGACATGATCAACCTCACTTCTCTCGCTTGACTGACCTGGCAGGCAGTTACCCTAGGATCAATTCCTTTAATTTGTCGCTTTGGTTTAGATGCCCCCGCAGCGTCTTATTCATTAGATCAACCAGCCTTTCTACATTCAATGCAGGTGGGTCTATATTAGATATCCATCATGAAATGAATAGATGGTAAAGAAACAAGAAAAATGGGAGGAAAAAAAATAGTGCACAAGCCAGGAGTCACCTGGATATCGCCAGTCTCCATCCTCCGTCAAATCTACTGCCAACCCAATGCCGACTCACCCCGATGGAAGAAGGAGGTCGCGACTACTCGAGCGCCTTGCCATTAGACCACCTGGACTCTTGGCAGGAAATCTATGTGGGTCTGTGTCATGCAGCAGCCAATTATCTTCCCCAGTGACCTGTTGACAGCCCGGACCAATAGCAGTCGCGCCGGCCTTGGCGCCAAGCCGCATTCTTGGCAAAGAACCGTTCCTGACCCGACGTTGATCGCCCGGCACTTGCGCGTTGATCACCCGAGACGATACCCACGATGCAAATGCGCGCACCCATCTGTGACACCCTTACGCCCTCAAGCGCCAGATGAAGCACGCCAAGTATCCATTCGAGGCCACTACACACGCAACCCATCTAATTTTGGCCAGTGCCCAGGCTTGGCAACCTGTTGCACTGCGTAATGAGCGCGGGAGCAGGGCTGGGCATCCCCTGACATTGTGATTCTGTCCACTCCCATCACATCTTGGGGCTCTGGGGTCTCGGGATTGCGCAGCCTATAAATCTCAAGCCAAGGTGGTGTGGCTCTTTCATTGCGAATGGCTGAAATTGCCATTACTCCTTTTTCTTTGACAGATGGCGCACTCTTCTTCTTCCCCAGTCACTCTTTTGTCTGGAGAAGCTGCTATATGCATCAACTGCGCGTATCCTGATTTTAGCACACATGTGGCCGTTCTGTTGCTCATTGCTTCCGAGATCATGGCTCATCATTTCCATTTTTGGCGTCTTCACGACCCAGAGTACAGCGGCGGGCGTTTCCCTTGACATCGCTGATCCAGGTAAGTGCTTTATATCCTCGACCGGATATCTTGCGATACGTCTGCTAACATTGAGCGAAGCCTCGATCAAATCCGCAGCAAGTCAAATAGCTTTCGACCTCGTTACCTTTTACACGGGCAACAACACAGGCGATACACCCGGCAATCTGCCAGATCCATACTACTGGTGGGAAGCAGGTGCTTTCTTTGGTGCACTAGTCAACTACTGGTCATACACCGGTGACTCGATATACAACGACATCACTAAACAAGCCATGATCCATCAGGCCGGCAAAAAAGGCGACTTCATGCCCGAAAACCAAACATACACAGAAGGGAACGACGATCAATGCTTTTGGGCTCTAAGCGCTATGATAGCCGCCGAACGAAACTTCCCCGCCCCATCATCTCCAACACCGGGCTGGCTCGCAATGGTCCAAGCTGTCTTTAACGAGCAGGCTCATCGATGGGATACATCTGCTTGCGGTGGTGGTCTACGATGGCAAATCTACACCTGGAACAGCGGATACCTATACAGAAACAGTATTGCGAACGGATGTTTCTTCGACATCGCCTCTCGGCTGGCCCGATACACGGGCAATGAAACGTATGCGAAATGGGCGACGAAAGCATGGGACTGGACGCAGATGATTGGTCTAATTGGGACGGAATACGAGATCTTCGACGGTGTTACAGATGTCGATAACTGTACTTCCCACGACCATAATAGATGGTCGTACAATGCTGGTGTTTGGCTACACGGCGCATCAGTGATGTACAACTACACCACAGAGCAAGGATCCAATATATCCTCGACTTGGCGAGAACGAACAGATTCACTCCTGGACGCTACGGGCCATTTCTTTCCCAAGAATGATATCATGTTCGAGCACAATTGCGAGGCGAGTGGGAGTTGCAACGTGGATCAGTTGTCTTTCAAAGCATATCTGAGTCGCTGGCTGGCTGAGGTTACGCAGTATGCGCCTTATACGTATGACTCTATAATGGGGAAACTTCGGGCTACTGCCGTTGCGGCTGTTGCACAGTGTCAGGGCGGTGATACGGGGACATTCTGTGGTCATAAGTGGAATACGGGGGTCTACGACGGTACGAAGGGGGTTGGACAGCAGATGGGTGTGCTGGAGGTACTTCAGGGACTGCTGGCTGCTGATGTTGGTGGTGCTTTGACTTCCTCGACTGGTGGTGAGAGTGAAGGGAATAGTGCTGCTGGTACTGGGGATGATGAGACGAAGGCAGAGTTGCCGGTTATGCATATTGACAACGGTGATCGAGCAGGTGCGGCTATAGTGACTGCGATATTTGTTACTTTTATTGCTTGGGCGGTTTACGGAATGCTTTCTTGAATATATGGATTAGTGTTCTATTGATGAGCATAACAAGAATATATTGATTTCTAGACTTGATCAATAGCGCGAATAGACTCGGGCCTTTCTAAAGTTGCAAAATGTGCTGACAATCATCTATGGGCTAAGAAGGCAGGATAAGCTGCTCCTCCCTTGGCCACGTAGCGACAGTTGTAGCGTTACCGGTCAAACTAAACTTGACGATCGCCGAGCGCTCATTGTTCAATGCAAGCTCATAGTTTCCAGGGTAGATCACACGGTTTCCGTCCACATCAGTGCGTGCAACATTATCCAATGAGATGGGGATAGTCAAAGTTTGAGACGTGCGCGGCTTCAGTTCACCCAGACGATCAAAGCCAACGAGCCACTTGATAGGGTGTGGGCTTGGGCCAGCAGTGCTGTTCACAAAAGCCATAGCTGTGTAGTCCGACGTGACAGAGCCAGTGTTCCTGATATCAGCCGTGTAGTTCATGAAAGGAACCTGCTCAACGGCGTTGAATCCCTTATGGGGGCGGGAGAGAAGATCGCCGATCTTGAAGGTTGATCGATCGTTCATCTTAACCAAGGCCTTGAAAGTCGTGTAGAACAGACCGTGTCCGAATTCAAAGACAGGCTTGCCGGTATACCACATGTAGGTCTGACCGGGGTTACTTCCATTGGGTCGGAGACTCATGTCAGTTGCTGGGAACTGGTGCGCGTACTTGGCGGGATATTGCGTCGCGGTAAGTCTGCCAGCGGGAGCGCGCTTGCCGGTCAGAATGTCCAGGATTGCAAGACCACCGGATTGTCCGGGGTATCCGCCCCAGACGATGGCGTTGACGTTCTTGCTTGCTTTCAGGGCGGAAGAGTCGACTTGACCACCACCCATTTGGAGGACGATCAAAGGCTTTCCGACTTGGCTAAGCTTCTTGATCAGATCAAGTTGGTTTCCAGGCCATGTGATCTCCTGTCTGTCCATTCCTTCTTGTTCAACTGAGTTGTCAATGCCGCCGGCAAAGACAATGATATCGGACTTCTTTGCAGCCTCGATGGCAGCATTAAAGTCATCTGTTGAATCCGAAGTGATGTTGGTTCCAAAGGCATAGTTAACGTCAAGATCGGAGTTTTCAAAGGCAATAAGCGGGCTGGTCAGGTATGGCGAGTTTCCAAAGGGAAGGTAGTTGCCCTTCAGCTGTCGTGTGGCATTTGCCCAAGGGCCAATCAAAGCCACACTACTGGTGTTCTTGGACAATGGGAGGATACCATCGTTCTTCAAAAGAACGATGCCTTCCACAGCAGCTTGGTAAGAGACGTTTAGCGCATCAGTGGCAACGACGTCAGACCAGTCGAGATCGCGGTATTTGCTGTCTTCTCCATCGAAGTATCCTGTACTAGCGAGATTGGAGTACAGACGAATAACACCACGTTCGATTTCACTGCGAGAGATCTGGCCCTTGGTGAAAGAGCCGTTCAGGTAGAGCTGGTAGGTGAACCCGCAATCAACGTCCGTGCCAGCTAACATACTCTTTGCCGCTGCGAGCTCGGTGTCGGAGGCATAGCCATGGGGGTTGAATACGTTGTACACAGCATCGCAGTCCGAGGAAACATAGCCATCCTCGACGAAGTTCCAGGTATCACGCAGCAGGGTCTGGAGCAGGAAGGTGTTGGCTGATGAAGGCACACCATTGACAGCATTATAAGAAGACATGACACTGTGAACTCTTGCGTCCGACACAGCCGCCTTGAACTGAGGCGAGTAGTACTCCGACAGATCCTGCTGAGTGATGATCATATCATTGCCCAGTCTGGAGTGGTTGTTCCAGTTCTCAATATCGTAACCAACGAAATGCTTCGCGTTGGCGACCAGCTTCAAGGGGTATGGATCCACTCCTCCTTGAACACCGGTGATATATTCATAAGCATAAGCAGAGCACAGGATGTTCGCATCCTCGCCAGGAGTTTCCTGTCCACGACCCCATACAGGGTGGCGGAAGGAGTTGATATTGGGCGAGTAAACATCCAGACCGTAGCGGCCGTAGTTGTTGAATGCCCTTCCTTGAGTAGAAATGATATCACCGATCTGGTGAACCAAAGAGCGGTTCAAGGAGGCCATTGTCAAGATTGGGGATGGGAACGAAGTCGACCAGCTGAAATCCCCGGACTCGGTCCAGTTGGCGCGGTCCAGGCCGTGGAGAGCTTCACTCCACACCTGGTACGGCGGAAGTCCCAAACGTGGGATGGCCGGGATGAGGTTTCCGGTGCTGTTGACGAGTTCTTCGAATGTGAACATGGCAACTAGAGCAGCGGCCCGATCGTGAGGCCGCGCAGACTTGTCACACACCACTGTATCCTTGAGAGGGCCATTGGAACAGTCGGGGAATGCCCAGTCGACGACATTCATGGAGTCGGCGTATAGACCTGGCTCGGGATCAGTGTTGTAGTCAACATATGTAGAATTGTCCTGTGCCAGGGCAGGCGCAAAGGCCGCCAGCAAGGCCAGTATGGAAGCGGCGGTCATTTTCTTGATTGCAAATGCTTTAGATTCATAAATCTCCGGGGAAGTTCAACTTATAGCCCTTGCCAAGACATATGGGGAGCTTTCCCCACGCCAACTGAATAGGGCAACTTCTGCAGTCGATCAATTCACGCGGGGTTTTGCCGATGCACCGCAGTGGTGAAAGAGAACAGTTTAGCCTAAACTGAATGATGCAGATTACCTTTGATGGTTAATTGCGCTCTGTTTCCTAAGTTCGAGTCGAATTAACGTTCATGCCCAGCAAAAGCCACTCCAGCCATTTCAGCCATCCGAAGACCATCACAGCTTGGCTATTTAGCCTGAGTCGTGAGCTACTTGAGTATGATCCCTTGGAAGAATCGGCTCTCCGAACATCCGTAAGGGGCTACGCATGGGCTGATCGGCGCACTTCCCCCTCTTTTGCCTATTGCCGGTGTGGATAAATGACTCGGTTTCGGGCTTCGGATAGTGATGATGACAATTATTTCCTGATTTCTGATCTCTGATCTCTGTGTATTGCTGCCTGCGTTTCTCGCTCATGATTGTTCTGGTGGCCAGTCTGTAAATAATTCTGTCCCGGCAGAGCCCGTCGTACTAGTAGAAAATATAGATAGACCGACAAGCATCCCTCATCTTCGGGCCTTAGTAGGTGATCTTGAATACCCAGGCAAAGCGATCTGCTTGGACAATCTCATCACTCAGAGACAATATCACAGTTCCATTCTCAGTCATCTTTGAAGGCACAATTGCACCTTTCATCTTCCCACCCACCACACGAACTTGATCCTTCCCCATCCAGGGAATAGGACTAGACAAAGCGATTGTATCATTCGGCTTCGCTAGACAGTGAATGTAAAATGCATCCTGCGACTTCGTAAAGCGAATAAACTTCCCTTCTTCGGGTGTCACAAACCAATATGTCGTATTGAAGATAGCCTCAGCATGATCCTTGATCCACGCCCCAGCTTCCCTGAGATGCCGCTTTTCAACGTCAACAATGGTCCCATTGGCCATCGGTCCAATGTCGAGAAGGAAATTTCCATTCTTAGAAACGATGTCAATCAGCCCAGTAACGATCGAACTCGCATTCATGTAGCTGGCGGCCGGCGTCGCACGATTGAATCCATAGCTGTATGGATCCATCCCCTGGCTGGTCTCCCACTTCCGTCTCTGCACCCCGCTATACTTGGCGTACTCGGGTGTGTCGAAATCCCCGGGCAGGCCGCACCGAGCGTTCATGACGACTTGGCGGTTCTCTTGGGCTGCTTTGTTGTACCAGGCCGATGCGAAGTCGGTTGTTTTGTTCTTGCCGCCGATGTCGCACCACATGATCTCGGTTCCCATTTCTCCGAGGATGTTCATCTCTGGTAGGATCTTTTCTTCGATGTAATCTTCCAATGGGACGTAGCCGGTGTAAGGCAAGGTTTCGTTGGTGAATGGGTTTGTAGCATTTCCTGGGTTCCTGTCAGTGATATATATCTCAAAATAATTTCCGTGGAGTCTGTTACCTCCAGGCCATTGCCCAAACCCATACTGTTGGTAGTCAGGGTGAAACCATTCGGGAAGTGAGTAGTACACAGAGCGGTGCAGGTGAGGTTGGTACTCCTTGGAGGCATCAAACAGTTCCTAGGGTCGTCAGAAAAGGTGGTCTGAAGTAACTTTAGAAGCAGTACACCTCTTAGCAGCTCACCTGGACGATATTTCGATGTGGAGAGAGAGCAACAGAGGTTCTCGTGGACATATTAGCCGGGAGATCAAACAATGCATACCCATCGTGATGTTTGCTCGTCAGGACGAAGTAGTTGGCACCCGCATCAGCGAATAGATCAACCCATTCTTTTGGATCCCAAGCTGAGGCTGAGAAATCATCAATGAAATCGTCATACACAAATTCCGCTCCATATTCATCAAGGTGATAACCATAAGTATTGGTCTTGTCCAAGGGTCCCGAGTTCATAGTCCACCAGTACCTAGTACTTTGTCAACAAAACCGGGACAGATCTGCCAAGTCAATACATACCACTCTGCGTAGTTTTCCTTTGACCCTTTATTCCCCCATCCAGGAACTGAGTAGACCCCCCAGTGAATGAATATTCCGAATTTGGCGTCGTTGTACCAGTTCGGCGACTCGTGGCTGTAGATGGATTCGTATGTTGCTTCGAAGGGAACAATGCCGTACGTTGCGTTGAATGTATAAGGCGTAGAGTTCACACCAACGCCTGTGATGACCACAGTTGCTGGCCCTGTCTTGCCCAAGTCAATGCCATCTCGGTTTTGCACTCCAATTTCAACAATAGCCTGATCCCCGGGACCTAGCCGTTTGATGATAGCCTGAGACTTGGTATCAATGCCAGCAGATTGAACTTCGACAGTCACCTGGTGACCTGTATCAATGAAAGATGAGCCCTTGTTATTGATGACAGCCTCGATTATTTGCACTTTCTCCGGGTCATCCAACCATTTCTGTGTTGACCGAGCATATTGAATTTCCAGGCTAGGAGACTCGGACATGGACCCAGCCGGCAGCAAAGTCAAGGCAAATATGTGCAATTTCGTATCCAATGCGGCACCACCAGGTTCAGTAGACGACCCAGTCGAGGAGTTCGGCCAGGTGAATGAGACAAGCTCCTTCGTCGAGTCCAACCAGTTGACAGTTTGGAATATGTTGGATTTGTTGTAATTGGTGCTATTCTCCGTTAGAAAAGACGAAAACACCAAGTCGCCTCCGGCGGGATATGGCCAGCTCCAAAATGCTGGAACAAGCAGTGCCCCTTCGGAACTGCTTCCGTCCGCATAGTTTGCCTTGATAGACGCAGATGCCATCCCGGACTCAGATGCAGCGAGCATCTGGTAACTGAAGTATCGCTGTCTCGGAACTTGAATCTCCTGTCCCTGAACGAGCACATTTTCAAACCCCGTTTCGTTATAAGCTGCAAAAGTATAGTTGACTCCCCCATAGGAGAATAGCTCGGGTGGGATCTCCGCTGCCGGGTAAGCATCTGTACGTGTTAAACCTGGTGATTCCTCAGTGGGTCGCTTGCTTACTCCCATCACCATCGAAGTTCGAATCATTTGGCTTCATCCCGAAGGCCCGATTGTTGAACCATGACTTCAAGTCCACTGGCACCGAGGAAGCCTGTCCAGACAATGCTTGGAAATCATTCTGTGGTTGGAATATTACGGCGTCGATAGGGCATACGAGCCCAAGCAGCAGAAGTTGAGTCCAAGTCATGATCGATGATCAGTATGAGCTTGGCAGGAATAGCATGCTCGCACCTCATATACCACCATGGCTACAGTGACATTTCCCCGCAGAATATGAGCCTTGTAGATGGCTCCCCGGATAAACAACAACGATCGGCGTGCGGGGAATGCGGCCACTGTCCGGAAATCAGCCGATTCCAAGCATTCTGGTGATATTGTGTTGGAACTGGATGTTTCTCGTAGTTGAGTGGGCATGTTAATCCCAGAAAGAGTCTTCGTTTGGTTGTTGAGTACGAGTAATGAATGTCCACGGCCGAGGGGTATGACTATTGATATTGTAGACTAATACTGGTCAAGATAATAGGATACAAGAATATGACCGCTTTCAAATGCAGACACCACGTAAGAAATCATAAAATACACAAAGCATGTCCAAATCAAGCACGCTTGACCTCCTTCTCCAGTTTGTCCAGAGCCTTGGCATACTTCGGCTTCAGAGAAGCCAGAGCCTCCGACTTGATGTTGACACGATCAATGTCTGAGGATCGCTTAATAGGACCGGCGCCGATTTCGTTGACGAACCAGCGGCCTTCGCGGTGAGCGACAAGAGTCCAAGCGCATCCCTCGCGGCCGGCACGAGCAGTACGACCAACACGGTGAACGTAGGTAGTGACACTGGTAGGGACATCGTAGTTGATGACGTGGGTCAGAGATGGGAGATCCAGACCACGGGATGCTCGATCCGTGGCAACAATGATGGAAAGACGGCCTTGGTTGTAAGCCCGAAGAGTCTTGCGAGAAGCAGATGAGTTGTTGGATTTCACGATTGTTCCTACACGCTTGGCTAGAGCAGGGTGAAGGAGCTCGATGAGGCGCGAGAGACGTGAGGCGGACTCAGACGACTTGGTGAAGACAAGCACCGTCTTGTGGGAAGGAGTTGGGACGTCTTCCATGGCATCCGACTCCGAGTCAGATGAGTCGGATGAATCAGAATCGGAGGAGGAATCGGAATCAGATGAGGAATCAGAGTCAGAGTCAGATTCCGAGTCTGAGCCGGAGGAAGATGTGTCGTCGTCGGACGAGTCGTCGGAGCTGGTATCATCGTTGCTGCTCGTGTCATCATCCGAGCTAGTATCATCGGAGTCAGATGAATCAGAAACGCTAGCAGCGCGATCATCTCCCTTGAGCTCGATGTGTGAAAGCAGAAGACGCAGGAGATACAGTGGCTTCAGAGATCCATCGCCGACACGAATGATGCGCTCGGAGAGGGTTGAGGGGAGGGTGAAGTGTGAGTCGGTGCGGCGGATGGATGTCTCTTCCTCATCAGCATCCTCAGAGCCGATGATGACCATCTTAGGGTTAGCAAGGCGTAGTGAATTGAGCTTTGAGATATCCCGAGTCATAGTAGCACTAAGAACCACCTTTCTGGGTGGCTTGACATCAATGGGAAGTCCGAGATCAGACAGGAGCTTGCCTCCGGGCCCGAAAGTCTCGGGGGCCTGGCGACTGTCGAGAGAGTTCATCACGACATCAACCCATTCTTGGAAACTCTCGTTCAAGAGACGATCGGCCTCGTCAATCACCAGCCATTCAAGGTGCTTGAGGGTGAATCCCTTGGTGTAGCGGATGTGGTCAACGAGACGACCAGGTGTACAAATGAGAATGTCGACATTAGGCTCGGGTCGCTGAACATGGCCAGGAAGAGAGCCACTAGAGTTGACTGCCTCGCTGACGCAATCTTCAAGATTAAGATTCATCCAGTCATTGCCCTTTAATCCTTCGCGCTGTTGGCGTTGGACGGCCGGGTTGTAGACTTGATCGACGCGCATCAACAGCTTCTGTTCTTCCTTGATGGCCACATTACCCACAGCACTTCCGATGTGAAGTCTGGAGCCTGAAGCACAAAGCTCACAGGCCTCTCGGGCTTGCTTCACCAGCTCTCGCGTAGGGACAACAATCAATCCTCGTAGCCGGGAGGCAGGTCTGGGTGGAAGGGCAGTCACAAGAGGAAGCACATAAGAAAGGGTTTTTCCGGAACCGGTAGCCGCAGAGACACAGACATCTCCAGGGTGGTTGTCCTTGCCTTGAAGCAGGAGGGGGATCACAGTGGACTGCACAGCGAATGCTTCCGTGTAGTTCTGCTGCTCCAGAGTCTTGAGCAAATCGGGCTTGATTCCCAATTCGGAGAATTTCTTTGTGTCATCGGTAGATTTGCGCAAAGGGTTGGCGAGCCATGGGGGCAAGGAAGAGTATGTTGGGAGTTGCTCCAGCTCGGGTGGATTCACAGGCTGAGGGAGTCGCTCGAGGCCCTGTGCGTAGACAGGCTCAGCGGCAGGTACTTCGTCTTCAACAACCTCCGTTGGTGCCTTTTTCGCCTTGGCGCTCGTAACTGATTTCGTGCGCTCGAACTTGGACAGGATACCAGAATGCTTGTTCTTAGCTCGACCCTCGTCCTCCACAGGAGCTTCAGCTTCATCTTTTTCCTCAATCACTGGTACAGATCCGGTGTCTTCTTCTTCTTCTTCGGCGCTCTTTCTTTTGCTGGACTTTGTTTTCGTTGGCTTCTCGCTGGCCTCGTCACTGGAGTCTGCGACTGTCTTTTTGCTGCGCTTTTTCGAGATAACACTTTCTTTCCGGGTTGATTCCGGGGAGCTTTCGCCTTGAAGCGCATCCTTGAGACGTTTGCGCTTCTTTGTGCTGCCATCATCTGCGCCCTCTGCGGTTGCTAGACTTTCGCGTTTCTTATGGTTCTTCGTCGGGGTGGGAGTGGTGGCGGACTGGGTGCCCTGGGTTTCTCGCTTGCGTTTGTGAGATTGGGACTTTGGTGTCACATCAACCTGGTTTGAGGACTCATGGTCCGTTTTTTTGACAGCCATCCTGTGGAAGAATGTGTCTGAATGGCTCAGGGTTGCTGGTTGAGACTCTCAGCAAATTCCTTTTCTCGGAATATTTCCCGCCGGCAGAAACAAAATGGCGTGACCGCCCTCCATACCGCCATCCTTATCGCGCATCAGGTGTCTCCTGTGCTTCAATCGTTTGGCAGTGGACTGTTCAATGCAACAGATCTGTTCGCCATGGAAAGAGAGCTCACACTGCTAGCATCACAGTCGTCTCTGCATCAAGAGATATCCCGCCACGATGCCGTATAACATTGCGTCAGTGCTCCCACTCCATAAGTCGCGATCATTTGCTAACAAGCTAGTAGTATGGTCAGTGACTTCTTCTTTCCTCAATCAGGTACGCTGCCTTGTTTTCGAGTTTCATCTCACAAAGTTGACTCTTCTAGGTGGAATTGAAAGTCATATCTACCAACTGTCCTCCGTAAGCGCTCCGTGTTTACCGCTTCGCCGCTATTCCTAATCACCTCCAGAAACTCATAGATCGGGGACATAAAGTGATTGTCATTACACATGCATACAAGGGAAGGACTGGAGTCCGGTACCTTACTAATGGACTGAAGATCTATCACGTCCCATTCTTCGTCATCTACCGCGAAACGACATTCCCTACTGTCTTCTCGTTCTTCCCCATATTCCGCAACATCGTGATTCGGGAGAACATCGACATTGTACATGGCCATGCGAGTTTGAGTAGCTTTTGTGGAGAAGCTATTCTCCATGCACGCACCATGGGCCTGCGAACCGTATTCACGGATCACTCGCTCTTCGGTTTCGCCGATGCAGCGTCAATTCTTACCAACAAGCTACTGAAATTCACTCTCAGTGATGTCGACCACGCGATCTGCGTCAGCCATACTTGGTATGTGGACTCCAATATCTGGTCGGACAGAACTAATATCTAGCAGCAAGGAAAACACGGTGCTTCGAGCTTCTCTAGACCCGCTCATGGTGTCTGTTATTCCCAACGCCGTTGTAGCGGAGAATTTCTGTCCTTTGTCCCATACCACTACCCGTGCACCCGACCAAGCACTCAGTTCGCCTACGGAACCTCCAATGTCTCCGAGGATAATTGGACCTGACGACCCCATCACCATCGTTGTCATTTCCCGCCTTTTCTATAACAAGGGTACAGACCTTCTAATTGCCTCCATTCCCCGAATTCTCGCCTCCAATCCCAATACCCGGTTCATCATCGCTGGATCGGGGCCCAAAGCCATTGATCTGGAGCAGATGCTTGAACGCAATGTCCTCCAAGACAAAGTCGAACTGCTAGGATCAGTGCGACACGAAGAAGTTCGTGACGTTATGGTGCGAGGTGATATCTATCTTCACCCTAGTTTGACCGAGGCCTTCGGCACTGTCATTGTCGAAGCTGCTAGCTGCGGTCTTTATGTTGTGTGTACGCGCGTGGGTGGCATTCCCGAGGTTTTGCCGCAGCACATGACCACATTTGCCAAACCGGAAGAAGATGACATTGTTCTTGCGACCAGCAAGGCTATTGCAGCTTTACGTTCGAACAAGGTCCGAACCGATCGCTTCCACGATCAAGTGAAAATGATGTACTCATGGCGGGACGTCGCCGCCCGCACGGAGCGTGTGTATGAGGGCATCATTGGCGATATCAGTCCTGAAGAATTCTATGGTTATTATCCCGGTCAGGGCTGGGATGCCAGTGGTGATCGTGTTCGCAGCTTTGCATTGGTCGACAGACTGAAGCGCTATTATGGCTGCGGTGTCTGGGCCGGCAAGTTGTTTTGCCTGTGTGTCGTGATCGACTTTTTGATTTACGTGTTCCTTGAGATGTGGTTCCCGCGAGCTAATATTGACATTGCTCGAAGTTGGCCAAGGAAGCCACCGGCGAGGAAGTCTTTGGACAATCATTGAGATGGAAACGGAATCCTTCATCGTGCACGGCCGCCATGCTTTTTACGACAAGGTTCATCCCGAAAGTTTCTTCTGACCGATTCCTACGTTATGCTTCCAAGGTTCCTGCCCACTGTACATATTTCCCGGCGCTGGAGCTTCTTCAACCACATACATACTAATATCATCTAATAAACGAATTCATCACAACACGCTGGAATTGATAGCGGACTCGCTCTGAAATTATTTACACGTGCACATGGTCTGCATGCCTGCACCGTTTTCGTAAACACATAACGGGATAACCAGCTCCCAGATCATAACTCAGTGCTTGTTCTGCTGACCCTTGTCACGCTTAGTGCGGGAATCATAAGTCCACTCCTTATCCAGTGTCTCAGCAGACTCAGGCTCAACTTCCTCAGCAGCAGCACGAGCAGCCTTGTTACCACGGGTACCACTCGAGACCGCCTCGTCCCGTTCCAGACCACGCTGGTCAGGGAACTGACGCTCAATTCCACGGTCCTGCACGGAGGCACCAACACTTTCTAAGCCAGCAGACTGCTTCTTGCGACCGTGTTGGCCGTCATGGCGGACTTCGGTGTTGGTCTGGCCTTGCAGCGGCTTGCCGAATCCTTGGTCCACGTCTCCGGAGGTGGAGCCCACCAGGGTGTCTGCTGCGGATGTGATAGTGGGCTCTTTGCCGTGCAGGCGATCAGCGTCTGGGTTGTTGGCTTGGCTGACTTCGGAGACATTGGGGGTGTAGGAGTTGCTTGCGGGGGCTGTTCCTCTGGGGAATGCCTCCATGTGATATTCTGGGCGTTGGTCTGCCTCGTTGACCTTGACACCTGGCTTGTGCTGGGTTGTGTTAGTCATTTGTTTCTAGGTGGTTCAAGGCGTGAACTTACTCCCTTGGTGGTGATAGGGCCTTCGGGGGCAACAGAGGGCTTGAACTCGCCCTGCTTGGGGTTGGCCACGGAGTCGACGTTTTGAAGAGTGCTCATTTTGGTGATTGGATCAGAAGATTGCTTTGTAGATTTTAATACATCTCTGGCATGTCGTTGTCCACCCTTTTATATGTATGTTGCAGGGTGACAACACCAAGCCCTGACGTCAAGTAACTGGTTTCATCATTTTCCAGGAGTTTCAGGACATTTTGGTCTCGAATTCGGGGAGATGCAGGTTGACTGAAGTCATCGACTGAGTGTCCGGTTTCGAGTGGCAAGCTCTTTATAGTTGTCGATCATCGCTGTTCATGACATCAAAAAAGTGGACCTTCACGATCCTAGATCTTTATACTGGCTTCGCATTGGTGGGTTCTTTGCCATTCATATATGTACTTGGTACTTTATTCGCGTGGATGACTGTCGTAGATAGAACAGTAGAGAATATATCCATCTTGTTAGGGTCTTGGTAGTGGGCATGCACCAAGGCCGGTGCATTCTTCTCTACATTGGACTTTTGATCGCAATTTCAACGTACAGCTTTGCCTGTCTTTTCTTTCTTGTTTCTTTTTTTCCTTTAAAGAAAAGGCAGACTGACAAAGAGCAGTTAACAGCGCATATTCACATGCGCTTATCTAAGAAGGCCTCGATAATTCCCCGAGGCTGACCCTGAAGTTGTATATATAGGATGAGGGCTGGGAGTTGATGTATATTCACAGTACTCGAATGGAACATGATCATGTTCAATTTAAAATGTCATTTTTCGAGGTTTCCTACTTGCCTTTTGCTTTCTCCGGTCTTTCGTTCCATCTATAGACTATGAGGGGTTTGGCCCAGGCGGGAGCTCAACGAGTCCGGCATAGCCTGGCAAACAAAAGACTCCCATATGACGGAGGCCCTCGAAGATTTATATACTTGGATCGAATTTTCGAATTGAAAACTATACTATTAACAAGATGTAATTATCATTAACAAACGCCATTATGCATATGCTGCGCTCGACGCGGTATGTACAAGAGAGATCGAATCAACGCATAACAGGAGGCCGGCCCTCTTTATTCCACTTGACCCGACTCTGCACCCACTCCACCGCCGCCTGCACTCCAGACCCCAGCAGCGCGCTGACCGGCAGCACACGACTGTCCCGAACACCTCCTCCCGTTTCCCCCTCGAAGACCTTGCGAACAAGCCCCTCCTTGATGCGAACCACCTCCACACAATCTTCCCGATCCTGCTTGTTCGCCAACACCAGGATAGGCACACCAGCGACATCTGCATTCTGCAGAACAGACTCCAAGACTTGTCGGCACTCGTCCAAACGTCCAAACTCACTGCTGGCAGCACCTATCCCCACATTATTTTCTGTGAATGCCTCTGCGCCGGAATTCCCACGGGTGGTGCGCGTGCCAGGTGTGGAACTTGCGCGTCTTGAGATCAGACGGGCAATATCAGGGTCTTGGCCGACATCTGCGCTGTCAACCACGAAGATGATCGCGTGACAGCTCGTATAGTAACTTTGCCAGAGGCCTCGCATTGAAATCTGACCTCCGACATCCCAGATCTTCAGGTTCATATCGTGTAAGGGTATCGTTGCGACATTCTGACCGACGGTGGGGACGGTTTTTCCGGGGTTGGGCGCGGGGGCGCCCTCTGGACGGGGCTGGTAGAGCGCTTTGATCTGGGAGAGGAGTGTGGTTTTCCCAGCATTGTCTAACCCCAGAAGAATCACAGAGTACTCTGTCCGACTAGTCAGCATCAAATCCGGGGTAACAGCGATGCGATCGATCATCAGATCGCGAGACGTACCTTCTTTACTTGTGGCAGCTAAGTACAGCGACTTGGCCAAGTGATACATGGCCACCAGGAGCTCAAGGCCACATATGATTTGGATTGAAAAGAGGCACGAAATCAAACAGCGCGATCATGACATTCGAAGGCGTCTCTCTGCTTGCGGAGTGAAGCCGCGTTCCTGTATCCGCATTAGGCAATAGGGCTTAGGGCTGGGCAGTTCAAGCCGCCTCAGCGTCTGGGCCACTTGCGGAGAACAAAGTACGCACTGTACAGAGTACTGCGCACAGAGTACAGAGTACAATCCGTGCTGTTACTCTGGTTAAAACAGAAACTGATGTTACTACAGGCTGTGAGAAATGACCCGGGAGACAGGTCTCCGGGATGAACCTCCCAGGGTCGCAACAGTCGTACCATTGCTGTCGGCGAATGAATCGATGTGGAGATGCCTCCCCCACTTCCGGTTTGTCAGCGATGATTATTGAGATACGAAGTTCCCTTCCCCGGGTTACTTTTCTCTAGGTTCTCTCTTATGGCAGCTTCCCCTCCTGTCTACAGGCTCAGTCTCTCTCGGAACGAGTTTCCGCCGTCTTTTCACCCTCGGCGCATGTGGTTTCCCTCGTCGCATGCTTCGATCAGTATGCCCAAGGTTGGAAACTTGCTTTGAGACATGTCGCCGTCAATGGAGATTGACACTGTCATCGTCGGTATGTCCGGTTCAAGCCCGTGGGACACCCTTCGGATACTGTTCCTTTGAGAGCCCCGCCTCCAACCCCGCTACCGGTGCTGGGCAATGGATTAGAATTGCGCTTATCGGTTTACTCTGCAGGCAATGGGCCATCGGCCATGATCCTTTCATACATTCTCCACGGCCATATCCCACTTTACACATCCAATCCACCACACCCCGATCATCTGCTAGATGCCAAGTTGAAAGATGCGCCGGAGCTCTTGAACGCCGATGTGGATGGCCTGACGGCCCACTTCGACGCTTCCCGGCTGTCCTACTCAACCCAGGCACTGCCTGTCAATGTCTTGCTAGACACGCTTGTTCGGCCCAGCGTGGATGTGGACGAGCCCGGCTGCATTTCGAACGTTGAATGGCGTAGTCAGCCTGAAAAGGCCATTTCGCATGTCGTCTTTGGGAAGCCTCTCAAGGCTGGGGGCCAATGGACGGAGGACCCACTAGGTGCTAGTTGGGATATCCAGACATTAAGCTATGCGGCCATGCTATCCTTGCCCGGGTACTCCTTCGCCGATCACCATGTCGCAACCACAGGCAAGGATTTGCCCCCGTACACCAGACCGACGCGGCGGGAGATCGCAGATTACTTTGCTACTTATCCGCAAGCTGCGGGGATAGCCGATTCATTTCGGTGCGGAGAAGAATTGAAGGGAATAACACGAACGGCCGATGGATTCCACATTCGCTCGCACAACATTCACTGCAAGCGGCTTGTCCTGGCAAGCGGGATTTTCTCCGAAGTCCTCCCACCAGAGCCCTCATTACACCCAATTCTACAAACTACACGCTCCCCAGAAACACCAATTCTCGTTGTTGGCTCTGGCTTCTCCGCTGCGGACGCAATAATCTCCGCTGCACCGGACCAGAAGATCTTGCATGTTTTTAAATGGTCCCCTCACGATCGTCCATCCCCCCTTCGGGCCTGTCACCAGCAAGCATACCCAGAGTACGCTGGTGTTTACCGTCTCATGAAACGCGCCGCCCTTGTCGCCGAAACCAAGAGCAACGAAAGACCAAAAGCCCGCCGCGCCACCTCCACACCATTCCTTGAAAGCAGGAATTGGGATGATCTCTACCAAGGTCTTCCCAATGTGGAGATGATAGCCGCCGAAATCAATGGTGAGCTTGCGCAAGTGACATTCCGTCGCGCGGATGGCACTACCTTCAACCAGTCTGTCCGAGGCCTCGTCTATGCCGCCGGCAGACGAGGCACCCTGGACTACCTCGATCCCGAGCTCCGCTGTGAAGTGCTGGGGCCAGGAGATTACACGAGCTCGGAAGTCACCGGCCAAAGCCTTCGTGCCAAGGCCGTGGAAAACCTAGAGGTCGCCTCCAATGTTTTCATCATTGGAAGTTTGACCGGTGACTCGCTGGTTCGATTTTCATACGGCGGATGCGTGGCTACGGCCGGTCATCTGATTGATGGCGAGCGCGATACCCGCAGCGTCTGCAGTAGTCTCATTTCGTCGCACAAGATGCACAGCTCGACATTGTCTGTCATGAATGGCATGGACGGGCATCTCGTGTACCCCAATGACGATGCGGACCTCACACGCGAAGATACATTCAGCAAGATTTCAACTGTCACTGATCAGCCTACTGTGCGCAGCTGGTGGATGACAATCTCTCGGCTGTGGAGTGGTCTGACACGATGAACGTATTACGACGATACTGCCTTTGTACACTTATGATCACATGCAACCCTCGAACACATAGATATTCCTCGAACCTGACACCAATGTCATCTTGAACTTTGAACTCCTTCCCGTGGGCACTTCCCAGTAAATCTAATCATGGATTTAATCCGGTCCCAGCTTTAGTAATTCAGTTTGAAATATCTTGTTTTTCACTTCTCAGTCGACCAATGCCCACTAGATATGGATTTTTCCCAATGCGGCTGACCTGAGCTGAAGGTCAACAAGACTTCAACTCAGGTCAGCCTGGGTTTGAGGAAGTCAAAACTTGCAGTATCCGCCTCCCAGGCTGCCTTCTTCAACCTCCCTTCCCCACCGACCGTTTCTAGTCCCCTTTTCCTTCACCACCTGAATGGTTAGTATGAATCTCACCAAGCAATGCATGCGTGTATCTTCATTGAAGTTGAGTTTGATGCAGGCTATGAACCAGGTCGTCTCCCAACGATCTACACCCACATGTGAAAAGACCGCACGATAAACTGGCTCCCACAAGAATACCAATCACTTTTCCGGAATTTCGCTTTCGTTTGACGCATCACAACGAAGAAGGTGCTTCACTTCAGGAAAACTACTCAACGTATGACCGACACACACCAGCAACACGAATACCAGGCGCATCTCGGATCACAAGATGGAATCGTGGTTTTTCCTTGACATCCTTGAATACGGTGCTTCTCTCCTACCCATACGAGGCCCAGGCAGGTGATGATACGGGGAATCTTGGCTTCACTCAAGCCTTTGCTAGGTCCGGTTTGGGTCGAGCAAATCCTCTATGAGACAGGGAGGGGTTGGAGAGCAATGAGAGTTGGATGTTTCTCCAAATCGGGGTTCATTGTCGGACCCACCGAACTGGCATTTTTCACTCCTATCGAGATCCCTGCCATTCTGAATAATCCGGGATTTCGAACTTGGCACATGAGCTTTTAATCAAGGTGATCCTTTCAAAGCAAGGCCGTGAACTCTTTGCCAAAGCACTAGGAGAATTTCATCAAGTCACATAATGGACCAGATTTCAATCCCCAGTGCATCATCTGGAAAGTTATCAGATGCAGGAAATGCACGTACCTCTGTCAGTTTCCTTCTTGTTCTTTGGACTCATTCGAAGTCTTGTTGAATTTTCCAATCATTTCTTGAGGCACTGCAATTTGTGCTATCAGAGGCAAATCTACCACATTTCTGTAGAACAGCTGCAATGCTATATAGACCGGTGCAACATATTTGAAACGTTGTATTAATTGAATATACAAGGCCAAGACACACTATATAGATCCCTGTCAACACTGTTGACAATAGTTGTACAGGTACAACAGGTACAGGTACCGAAAAGCGGGTCAATTCAGGGATACCATGTCGCCCACGTGCTGGCCACGTGTAGCGTGGGCACTACTGTAAAATCCTTGTATTTGGCGGGGTACAGAGTAGTTGAGTGCTAAGTATATCCCCAGCCCATATCAAATCCCGATAAACACCTGTTTTATGCACCTTGACGTTTTCGGGAAACTATAATTTGGGTTATGAAGATCACATTTGTCGTATTTCGTATGTGAGAGCCCCCATAAGGAGAGACCGTGACAGCAATCCAAATACAAATAAGCAGTTATTCGTGAGAGACTTTACACCATAAGTCTCCCTCGCGACTAAGCTCCACCCCTCCCCATCAATGCTTCCTTGGTATCAGAATTTTCAAAAATCAAATATACTAGAAATGAAGATGCAAGCTCTACGGTGACGGTTCCAACTTGATGGCTGTGCGGTTCGCATTCGCCTCCTCCTCTGTGGGCTTTCTCGCCCACACGCGTGTCCTTGAAATATGTTAGCATGAAAGATCCCAGGATCCGATCCAGATACATACGCAGGCTCATAAGCGTGGATATGAGGGTTCTTCAACTCCGCGCGCACTTTAGCCAAGTACACTTGCACCTCCTCCTTAGTCCAGGGCTCCGGCTCTCCGTAATGAGTAAGAAGCCACATAGCCCAGCCTTCGAGAGCGGCATTCCAGTGCGCATATTGCAGATGACCAGCCTCCTTCAACAACTTATCCTTAGGCCAGGGGCCCAAGGGGATCTTGTAATTCTCTTCGTGGACGTCCACGAAACCGGCTTTTTCAATTGCGCTGCGCATTTTCTCATGGGTGCGGAGTGATCGTCCTGCTCGCTCGGAACATCCGACGAATATGTTGCCCCAGCCGTGTAACATGTGTTCGGGCTTGAGTGTGCCGTCGTCGCTGTAGACTCGCACGTCTAGTTCCATCTGCTCGATCCAACCACCGGGTTCAAGAGCACTGTAGGGAAGGTAAGAACAGGAACTGTAGACCTGTGAGATCTTATGGTAGGAGTGCTTACTCGTATGCCTGTTTGTAAACTTGTTCCCAGCCCTCATCTGTGAATGCGCCATACATCAATCGCATGTGGATGAAGTCGAATGATTCCCTCCACGTCCATTCGCGGAGCACATCATCCACTTCGAAGACACAGTTAGGAGGCATCCATAATGCAGGTGGAGGGAAAACGTCCACGCCGTGTACGGTAGCTAAACCATGTCAGTTAAGGATCCACCAGGTCATATGGTGAGATAGTACCGTTGGGATAGAAATCAGCAACATCACTAGACAAGGTTAGAGGTAATCATTTCATGGGGAAAATCAATCAATTACATTGCCCAACTTCCTTGACCGGTTCCAATATCCAAGATTTTCTAAAACTGTCAGCGGGACGCTCGGGCCAGCATAGCCTCGGTATGAGCTCACCTTAGGCGAGGGGCCAATCGGGGCCCGGAAAAGGGGGTTTGGCTGGTTGTGGTCTAAAACGAGAAAAACCATGTGGCTAGGTTCGTTAGAACCCAGTGAGGCATCAAGGGATGGAATGCGATTTACCCAATCTCGAATGCTTCGAATTGCTGCTCGTCTGATGGGCCCCTGCACTGGATTAGTTGAGAAACAGGTTTTCTGCTGGTAGGACCAACCAGTAATCGTCCTCTTTAGTGGCCTGATATCTGTCATTTGGGGTTAGTGTTCGGAAACAGTTTGCGACGGGGCCATTACCAACCTTCGGCCATTTTCGAATCGTCCTCTTGCGATCGTTGAGGCGAGAGAAGTTGTCTCCCTGTCGTTTTCAGTAAGCATGCTATCGGGATCGTGCTGAGTGGAACTCACGAGTGAAAGTCCTGTGGTTCTGTCCCATAGGACATAGTATAGAAATCGGGGTCCTAGATAACAGATGAGTAGGATGCTACCAGGTCCAATAAGAGCCAGACATACCACAGCGATCTCATCCATGATTGCGGTTAGAGTTATAACGGGAGAATCCGATGTTGGAGGATCCAAGAATTGGAAGAAATAAGAAAGGGGGGAGGGGGGAAGGTTAGGTACGGGACTCGCCGTGTATCCGCTTGAGCCGTTGCGAAGTTCCGTTGAAATCGGAAGACGATTGAGTGGGGGGGCCTCCGAAAGAGAAAAAAAAAACAGTTATACGGCTGACGGGTTTTGACCGCATGTCAGAGGCCCACTGTGATCGACGGTTGTGTGACAGTACAATTGTACTCGTGAAGAATTGCTGCCGAACACATTGTGGAGACTCTCAAAACACGGGAAATCCAGTCCAACCAGTGGCAACCCTTGCATTGACTCGGCCTGCTATTCGCTCCTAGGAAAGCGTATTCAAAACCATGGAAGTTTCTTTGGAAATGCCCCATAATTGGTTGCTTTTGAGTTTGGAGCTTGACCTTGACTCCTCATTCAAATATAAACCGTCCTTCGTGATCCCGCTGCGCCTCACAAACGGCCCCAAATGAGCCTGTAGGGACTGCGGAGCCGCTGTCAAAGTGACAGGAGAATACGGGAGATTGTGCGAGCTACTCGGGAGCGGGGAAAAGTACCCGATTGAAGAGCTCGGAGTTGAGAAAGCTGTGACACAGTTGTTGACCTAGAGATCATTTGTCGACCACTCTGTACGGCAGTGTAGGCCCCCCTTGTGAATTCTGCCACATTACACCGTTTCTTCGTAAACTTCGTAAACTTCGTATGTATATGATGCCTCTTTTTGTACGAGGCAGTAATCATGTGACTATCTTGGTAAGTTACACAAATGCAAACTATGCAAACCATGGGGCCTACTTTTGGCTTCCGACACGATCCAGAGTCTACACAGTACATTCACTTTCTTTTTCTCTCATCTCTCTCTCTTCTCGGTCAGGTTCTCCTTCTCTTCAAACAAGGCTCTGAACACCACTCACCATGGCGTTTGACTACGACAACCAAGACATCTTCTCCGAATTTGACGATCCTGAGCGGAAACGCCTCATCGCGCAGATCCACAGTCTCCACCCGAGAGTGGCCCAAGTCACACGCGCAATGCTATGTATGTATACATACCCGCTCTAGTTCGCGGACATGGAGGTAGTGCAGAAGCTTGCAGCTACTCGTACAAGTGAAGGGGGAGATGCGATTCATGATTTGCTGAGAAACATTACTTTATATACTGTTTCTTCGATATGTGAGTCTTCACTCCACTATATTTTCTAATCTGGGCTAGCGAGATTCTGTCAGGGGGCTGCCCAGGCCGTGTCGTGAAGGATACTGCTCGTTATCGTGAAGGCAGAAGGCATCGCTGACAATGGCTTGAGTGCAAGCTGACTGGAGTTGGACCAGTTGTCTCCGAAGTTACTTACATCATTGCATCGGCGATACAAAACCAAGAGGATGGTCTTCTGGAGGTGGAGAGAGTCTGGGCATTCTTGCAAGATTTCTGGGGCAAAGAAAATGTCTCCAGATGGAGAGAATTGCTTCTTCGGGAACCCTCGTGTCCCCGCCACACCTAGCGCACCTATCCCAGCCTGCAACAGACTATGATAATGCCTCATGGCCTCGCGGACGACCAGCCAACTGTGACCCTTTCGGCCATCACGCTCTGCCAGGTCACGCTGACACCCCGCGGCCGGCGATCCAACTAACCGTGGCCCTTTCGACTACCTCGGACGTCGTGTTTGGCCAGGACAGGGCAACCGTTACCTTTACGAATGAACCACCAGGCCTACTACTTCTATAACAACTTCACCGGAATTTTGCAGTGGGAGATTCCAAGATCAACGTCTATCAAGTCTTCAAGCTGATTAACGTAGATGTATCCGTACGTCAATGCTGCGCCTTTGCCACGCGGCGATGCGCCCAATTTCAGTCAACGTGGAGAAGACTGAGATGAAAATTGAAGATTGTGAATCTGAGTAGATCTTAAGTTACGCATCATGATTGGTAAATTGGCAAAGAAAAGCAGAAGTTTTCCAAGTCCGAAAGTTGGAGCGTTTGCTGGCGGTCTCTCACCTAGGCATAGGTTGGCACCCGATCAAGAAATGAGGAAACACTGCCAGATATGGGCTGCAGGATTTCCCAATTAGGTCTTCCCAGGTGGCATCAATTAGGCGACCAATGAAAAGCTGCAGTGAATATAAGGTTTGCAGGGCCTGTTCCCATTGGTCGTATACTGCGGTACGAGCTCCGCCGCACGTTGTATAAAGCCCCCCCTTGACTCACTCTGCGTCTCTTGTTTCTTGTGATGAGCAGGCTAGTCCCAATCGGGGAACAGGAGTCAGTTCTTGTTCTAGGCAGATTCGGGAGCTGTGAGCTCTTACTGCCGCGGAGACCTCGGAGTGCAGTCAAGATGATGAGGTCACCGCGGGGTATTTGCTATGCGTGCGGGATCGACCAGGTTGCTCATGCAGTTTGCCGAAGGGGAGAATTCCGCTCTCGAGTATATATAGAGGATGATTTAGCGGGGGATTTAGTTCCTCATACTACTTCTTCTTGTGGATTAGGACTCAATATCTATTGAACTTCCCTGTGCATCTCACTTCTTCCCTTCTCACTTACAGGCGTCGCCCGCCATCACTTTGTTTCTCGAAGAAAACGAAGAAGCTCACGCGTAGTAACACATTTCCAAAAATGGAATACCCTCGTGATACTCAGCATATTCTCTCTGGGTGACGGCTCGCTGCGCACTCTGCATGAACGAAATACGCTTTTGCTATCGCAAGATAAGCACCTCATGACGGACCAACTTCTTTGCACTTTGGTTCACCGAGAGAGAGATTTTCCGTCTCTTCGTAAGTCCTTTATTCACGCTTTCACGAGTTTGAGGATGAATCCCAACTGACAGGCTTGCGTTAGGAAGTGGGTTTGGTGCATGGTACTCCTGAATGGAATCACAGCTGGGGAATGGATAACAGCACCCAAGGCGGATCCAGTTACAGAACGCCCTTTTGAGATCCGTATCAGCTGTACCCTCGAGCCGCTCTTCCCGTTGAGTATTACTCTCCCCTGGCCCCGTGTTGTCCCCCCGGGCCGCCTCCTTCTGAGCAGAAGAATGACCAAAGAGACTGACTACCGAGCAAGCGGTCAGATAAACCCAGTGACCCCACAACATGCCTATCGAGACCCGCCGCATTCAGCCGCAGTCGTCGTCTTCAAAATTGCGTTTTGCGGCTTGGCGGATTGACCGCAGCTCCCGCATTGAGGAAAGGGGCTGGTGATCCTCCATCCTGTGCCTTTCTCAAGGCTCATGACTTCGGACATCTTTGTCATTGACGGGGCCGAGCTCCTCTTTCAGTCCTGGCATGGCGACTAGGCAGGTAATTGGGAATACTTTGTGGAATGGACCGCGACCCTGCTAGACAACGCGTTTCACATCCCGCATGAGATACGCCAGAAGTTCAGCGCCGCAAGACAGAAGCCTTCCGAGGATCCTGTTCATCTTGAGACCCGATTGGCTGCTATCGAGAAGCACCTGGGCGCTCGAGATGAGGAAATAAGGGGTCCAGACCTTTGGGGTCGTCTATGGGCCCCAATCAAGGATAAGATCATCCAGCTTGGGGGGAAGATTCTATTCGGTCGAAAGGCAACCTCCATGGCTGTACCCCGAATTTGGCTGACCGAATATGCCAAAACCAAAGATGCCAAGCAGTTAAAAGCCCAATTCCAGAAGGCCGAAGCGTCTGGGAATGGGAAGCGGAACCTCAGTGACGGCGACAGTGAGGGCTCTGCAAAAGCTAAAGGCTCTTCCAAAGCAGGGCCAACTCCTACAAAAAAGCAATTTGGACGGCGATACAGACAGAAATATCCACAAAAGTCTCAGAAGAATGGGAAATCTACTTCGTTTGAGGCCTCTTTTGCGGTATTTAGGAATGTCCTCCGTAGGCCCCAGCCTTGGGATTCGGCTGTATCGCTGACTTTGTGGCAACCTACATGCTGCTGGCGTCGCCGTTGGTTTCGTCCCCTGCTCTCCGCGGCTGGTTGATTGATTCTCGCGTTAGCTCCCCCTTCTGCAGATGCCAGAACCAGCGCGAGAATCGACCAATCAGTCGCGGAGAGCGAGGAAAGATACCGACAGCGACGCCTCCAGCATGAAAATTGCTATAAAGCCGGCGATACAGCCGAATCCCAAGGCTGGCGCCTGCAGAAGACACTCCTAAATACTGCAAAAGGGGCCTCAAAGGGGGCCTCAAAGACTGCCAAAAAGTCGGCGGGGGCGCATCCCACTCAGAAAAGACAGCTACGCCAGACAAAGATACCGCCAACGAAGCAACCAGCAGCTGAGTCGCACTAGGGCGGAGGCTACGGGCAAACCGCCGGAGTGCAGGAACCGATGAAGGAACAGCAGCGAGGTGCTGCATAAGAAACCGGTACCACAGTGTGATACGACTTGACATCCGTCGCGCAGGACCAATAGCAGGAGCTCTACCCACATTAGTCTCGCGAGAGAGTGCGTTCCGTGCACCACGGAATGCTTTGACAGCGAGGGCCTGTGAACCAAGTGGACCAGGCGGTGCAAGAAGGGCGGTGATCGCTCAAGAGACAACGACCTCGAGGCGTGAATCCACCTGCAGAAGAAAACATCAACCTTGCTAGCAAGCGAAGGAAGCCACCAACCATTTTACAAAACACTTGGGAAGCAGCACAATACGCACAGCAAAAGTTGTGATGGTCAGCGGATGGCCCGAGGATATAGACATATGCAGGAACGGTAGCGAGCCGATTGACGCATCGCTGACACCAGGCAGCTGAGGGGGTATTAGCGAGAGCGAGGGGCCAGTAGTTAGAATCTATTCCACTGACTATGAGGGTGGAATTGGATGCGAGGAGAACCCATGTCTCTATGTTCTTTACAGCCAATAGAGCACCTTGCCCTTTGCCACTCTCATTCAGTATATCCACTGCTCAGGACTGCTAGAAGTCAGCCCTCACATTCTATATCAAACTCTGCACCTTAACCGATGTTCCTTCCTGGGCCAATTCTATCTTCAGTTAGTTACTTAGTATTGCTACATTTTCATGAACCAAACTTCGTTTTTGACGCACCGTACCTGCGCCGTCCGAGGAGGGGTCTGAAGCCAGCACCGAGATCATTCACACCTCCGATCCTACTATTGCCAGCATGAATTTGACCAAGCTTCAAGACACTACTATCAACGACTTTGCGTCTGCCACCTCTCAAGCCGACCAGCTGGTCCCTCCTACGCAAACCTTCGTCGCCGATGCTGCCAATGAGGTCGCGGAGCAGAGACACTAAACGGCACCATACATACGATCTGGCAACCCAGACTGAGATAATTGCATGGTCGATCTTGCACGTGTGAACCCAATTTATTTGCAGCCGTGTCACTTTTACTCGTTTGTTCAACATGGCCATAACTCTCCTGTATATGTACGGGCATTTCTGCCTAGGTGCATTTGGCTCAATCCAATACCAAACAAGATTCTCCTCTTATGACACCACCGCCAATTTCCCTCTTACAGGAAAATTATCTTCCATTCCAGGCTTTGGGAACCCACTGATATCCACACCCTTCCGGAAAATCAGACAATGAGTCGACCCGCCAAAATGAAACATGCCGATTTCGTCACCCTTCTGGACCCTCTGGCCCTCTTTCACGGTGATTTCACACGTGGAAACCTCTGCCATTCCAACTCCAACGAAGGCCATCAATCCAATGGCCGGCTCATCAGCCTCAATGAAAATCAGTGCCCGCGTAGCAGTCGAAGTTATGTATCCCTGCGAGGTAACTTGACCCGCCATATCAATCTCGTTCGTGTCAACCTCGGGGTTCCCCACGCCTTCAAACAATGGCTCCGAATAATAAGTTCCATCTATAACATACGCCTTGACAACCTTACCACTAACAGGTGCATGCCAACGATGGTAACTCAAAGCACTCAAAAAGGCCTGATAGATAGTCCCACCGACAAAGTCCGACGCGAGCGAGTCATGGCCCAACATATCCAGAACCGAATAGGGCTGCGACTTGATCCAGAACTTGTCACGGGCACGAATGTGATGTGCCGTTTTGAAAGGTTTAGATTCACACGCATTGGCAATGACCTTCCCATTTTCCGGCTCCGCAACAGGGCGAATTCCCTCTCTGAATTGACGAGTGAAGAAATGATCCCAGGACTTGAATCCATGATTCGGTGCAGAAGCGTCACATTCAAACATATCCCCGAACTGGAGGTTCGTTGCGGCAACAGGTCCAATCTTCGCAACGGCTGTCAGATCACGCAGCCCCGTCTCCCCGAACCAGCCATGTTTAGAAGCACCGAGCACATCTGCCGAGGCGGGTGATCTTAGATACTCACCCCAAACATTCAAAATCTTTTTGAGTTGCTGGTTTATCTCCGGGTCGAGAAATGCTGCGTATCCACTCGGCGTACCCATTGGCCAGTCGAGGACGGCATTAATGGGTAACCCGACCAGACCAACACGGTGGGACTTATCGGTCCATGAGGGTGCAGTGGTAAGAAGGTGATTGAGGACTTGCAGGAAGTGAGAATAGTCTCGAATTTCTGGATTTCCTGTTGGATCGTGGCCGTATCTCTTTCGGCGGGGGACTTCGTTGAACATTGAAGCCAGGAGCATGTATACCCTGGTATTTGTTTCGATCAGGGTTTTGAATTCTTCCAGCACCGGGTGGAGAGGTGCGTTATCGTCGACTTCCTGAATCACTCCGCCGAGCCATTCTTTGTGGGCCTTGTGGTCTGCTGGCATCCAGTTTCCCACACTGTGTTGTGTTAGGCTTGGTATGTCATGTGGGGGGGGGGTTGTTTGCTTACTGGTACAGGTGGTGTGCAGAGCTATCATTAGCCATTGTTCAAACTTTGAAGGTGGTATTTCTTCTGATGATCGAAGCACAGCTAGCGTATATGTTCAACTGAGTTTATATGCAAGTAACTTTGCCAAGTTCGTTTCAAAAGCTTAGCCGACAGCTCAGCAAGATCGATATTTATATAATTCTACAACTAAATCACTGCCTAAATTAGCAATGATTTGTTACATCAGAGTGACGAGCAATCAGACCATTGATCAGTTATATTCCACCCGATTTCAAGGATATAAAGTGCACATCCGAGTATCCGGTGATGACGTCATGTTTCTAGAAGGCCTGCTTCCCCGGATATCTCATTGATCTGAGAGGTCCCGTATATATGTACGAGTAGTGGCCCATGCTTTTAGTAACTGGGAACAAATTTTAACTGCGGTCTAGAACTGACAAAATCCAATTTGAAAATGATGTGGATTGGATTGATTGTTTTGTACAACGTTCGCTAAGTGTTATGTTAAATAAATCATTCATCACTGCATCATGAAGTCAGGCTGATCTTCAAGAATAGAGATGAATAGCTGGCTTACATAGGCGAGATTTGTATGAAAACAGGAGTTCTTCATTTTACTCCATATACTTAAAGTACTAGTATACAAGTACTACGAAGGGGCAGAGCAACCAGGTCGGCAAGACCGGGTATGGGTGGGGCGGCGAGCCTTGGCAGTAACGAAGATTGGTTGGATATGTGACAAGATCCACTTGTAGTGAATATACAAAGCCTGGTTGGCCGAGTGGTTAAGGCACTGTGGGGATGTACCAACCCGGGCGTGTGCACCCATAAGCGAGTGCCCCGAAGGTGTTGGCGCGTCCTCCAGAGACCCCTGGTTCGAATCCAGGATCGGGCGCTTCTTTTTTTTCCTTTTCCCCCCAACGACAAATACTTCATCTGGCATACATATTCCAAATGTTGGCAATTCAACTATCTCTGTTTTCTGCCTGCCAGAAGCCAGGCAAGGCAAGCATCAGGAAAATTTAGGCACATTGGATTATCTGACCTGGCCGCTCTGCCTTGATTGGATTGTGGCCATTTCGGTCACTCCAGTCACTGTACTTTGATTGGACCTGTCACCACTTCGATCCCTAGTACGTTTAACTGTCCTCCTCTCCACGTTGAAATAACTACTAATTCATTTGACATGATCAGCGATCTTTTCTCGCTGCAGTTTGGCGCTTCTTCTTCTGCTTCTTCACATCATTCTTCCTATGGTCTCGTGTGAGACTTCCCGGTCTATCGAAACACCAACCACACCAAGACTAGCTTTTTCATGTCACTGGCTATCATTTGGAGCACAGGTCCCTGGAATGGGTTGGGGAAAGGCTGCGGCGTGAAGCGAGCACACTTGAAGCATGCCAACGGTCTGTCTGACGGCATGGCCGTTCCATTCGCTCTGACCGCCGGTCTGTCCGCCCTGGGCGACACCAAGGTTGTGGTCCATGGTGGTCTCGCGGAGCTGATCGCTGGAGCTATCTCGATGGGCCTCGGTGGTTACCTGGGTGCCAAAAGCGAACATCACAGAAGGGGCGATGCGGAATGCACTCCTGATTTTCCACGATGGCCACTGCCATTATGCACTAGCACTAACATCGAATTGAATGTTGGAACCGGTGTCGTGGCCAGTGAGAACGGGCGATTTCAAGAAATAGGTCTGTTCATGCGAGGCGTGTCAAAGGAAACATACACACGGGACTCGACACTACAGTATTGACAAGTGTATCCATGAGCACCTGACCTGCTCGTGATATTTACTCGAGCCAAATAATTCATGAGAGCGTTGATTTCAATCCCTCCAAGTTCACGCCAAGATTATCAGTTGAGAGACTCAATTTCAGGAGTGTCTAAGACATTCCTCATTTACCCCACAGAACGCCAACATCGGTGTCTCTGTCTCGCGCAATGAGAGCTTCCAAAATTATCTCACGGGATAATTACCGGGTTGAACAAAATATCCCTCAGACAACAAGGAAATCGGCCTTGGTGGAGCGCGGTGTCGTAAAGAGCGCACCCCCGCAGGAGAATTAACCAACTCGTCAAGGGGCACCGGCGATCATTACGATTTTCCCGGATCACCACTATAAATATCTACGATGGACTTAATTTACGATGTGGAATTGAAGACTGCAGCTCAGGAATGCAGGTCTAATTTCGCCGACCTTGAAATTTCATTCATTTGACTGTTGTCCACCATGCATCTGGACAAGCTATTGATAGCCAGTACACTCGCAGGACCAGCACTTGGCTTCAATGCGACAGAATTGATCCAGCGCTATTTCGGCAATGACGCATCCTGGTACGCCGATCGCATTCCAGTCTTCGAATCCAGCGCATCCGAGATCCAGGACGTCTACTATTACCGATGGAGCGTTTTCCGTGCTCACCAGCGCGACTTGGGCGCCGATGGGTATATTTCGACAGAGTTTCTTCAAGATGTGGGCTGGCAGACGCAGCCCTCGGCGCTACTGATTGACGCGGCTAATATGCATCTTCGGGAGGGACGCTGGTGTCGGGACCGCCGCTTTAAGGATGATTATGGGAGCTTCCTCTTTGGAGCTCACAAAAACCCATACCAGTTCTCTGAGAGTATGGCGGATGGTGTGTGGCAGGGATATCTGGTCGATGGTGTCTCTGCTTCCATCACTGGACATCTTCAGTCCATGCAGGATGTTTATACGGGCTGGAATACCACGACCATGTCGACTGGTGGCTATGATGTGGCTAAGAGCTTGTATTGGATTCAGCCCTTGACTGACGCGACGGAATACACCATCGCGAGTATCGATGCATCCGGGGGCTCTGATGGCTTCACGGGTGGAAACGCATTCCGCCCCAGCATCAACAGTTATCAATACGCGAATGCCCTGGCCATCTCCAACATTGCTTCTCTCGCGGGCAACCAAACCCTCGCAAAACAATACAAGGACAAGGCAGCTACCATCAAGGCCGATGTCCAGACTTCATTGTGGAACAGCACCTTTGAGCATTTCATCGACAGGTATAAGGTGGACACCACGAACGTCAAGTATTGGGACTTCATTCGTGGACGGGAACTTGTCGGCTACGTGCCCTGGACTCACGATCTCCCTGATGACACCGAGGCTTTCGCCCAGGCCTGGAAACACCTCATCGACACTGAGAAGTTTGCTGGACCACATGGACTCCGTACCAACGAGCCCAGCTACGAGTACTACATGCGACAATATCGGTACGAGGGAAGCAAACGTGAATGCCAGTGGAACGGTCCTGCCTGGCCTTATCAAACCACACAGCTCCTGGCCGGTCTTGCCAACCTGCTTGATCACTACCCCAAAGCCGCGGCAGCAAATGTGATCGGCAAGTCCGACTACACTAAGCTGCTCAAGCAGTACGCACAGCTCCATTACAACGCGAACAGGGGCGGCATCCTCGATATCGAAGAAGACTACGATGCAGACACCGGTCTCCCGATCGTCGGACTCGCTCGCTCCCCGCACTACTTCCACTCCGGCTTCATTGATCTTGTTCTCTCCGGCCTCGTGGGTATCCGCCCTCGTGCCGATGATACCCTAGAGATCAACCCGGCCGCAGACGCAAACTCCATCTCTTACTTCCGAGCAGCCAAGATCATGTATCACGGACATAAAGTCGCGGTGCAGTGGGACGCGACAGGCAAACAATACGGTACACAGGGCCTCATCGTCGAAGTAGACGGCAAGAAAGCAGCAAGCGCAAAGACTCTCTCTCGTCTCACAGTCAAAATAACCCGTCAGGCCCCGCCAGCGGTTGCTCGTCCAATCGCCGTATCCATCCAACAAGGAGCCGATACCGAGTATCCCCGTGGTCAGGTCTCAGTCCCAGACGCAAACACAGATGATATTCACGCCGCGATCGACGGCCGAGTCTGGTTCTTCCCTGAATCTGACATCGCGAATGGATGGGACACACCGGCTGGAAACGGGAGCGAGGTCTGGTATCAAGTTGATTTCGGATCCTCGACTACAGTGAAGAGTGCCGAGATTGCGTTCTTTGCAAATGCGACGCAGACGTTCGATGTCCCGAGTGACTATCGCATTCAGACTAGTCAGTCGGGCAAATGGGTGGATGTCTCGAATGATCACCTCGATAAGGTCCTGGCAAATGGTATTACCGGGGCATCTTGGGACTCTGTCAGCTCGGAGAGTATTCGGTTATTGTTCACACCGAAGAAGGGGTCGAAGGCTAGACTTGTCGAGTTCAAGGTCTTCGGGGCTTGAACGGTAGACCAGGATATGGTCAGTACATAAATTTAATATAAATACTTCAACACCTTAATCTAGTCATTCTTTCTGAAACAAGTGTCAGGAATAGGACTAGCGTCTTACTCTCTATCTAGGTGGCCTGATGTGAGATTGATTGGGAAATAGGTTCTCCCCTTCAATTGAGACCTCTTGAGATTCTCCAGAGCATCACATCTATACATACCAGAGCAAATCTTCCAACCAAACCACCATGTCAACTTCATTCCCAACCCGCCAGCTAGCCGGAATCACAATCCCCAACACCCCACTAGTCAACAAAGCAATCGCCTACGCCCGCAAACACGGCGACGACTTTACCTACAACCACGTCCTACGCAGCTGTCTCTTCGCCATCGCCTGCACCCCTCTGGTCACAAGCACATCACCCACCTACCCCCTCGACCACGAAGTCCTAGCCGTCAGTACAATCCTCCACGATCTAGCCTGGCGCACAGACAGCTCCAAAAGCAGCACCGACAAACGCTTCGAAGTCGACAGCGCAAATGCAGCGCGTGAATTCCTACTCTCGGAAGTAGACAACGCGGAATGGCCATCCCACCGCATCCAACTCGTCTGGGATGCTATAGCGCTTCATACGACGAATTCCATCGCAATGCATAAACAGCCTGAGGTTATGCTTACGCATGTGGGTATTTCGGTTGATTTTGTAGGGCCGAATTTGATTGAAGGGGGTCCTGTTACTTGGGAAATCTACACGGAGATTGTTGGGGCGTTTCCGAGGGTGGAGTTTAAGGAGGGAATTAAGCGGATTATGTGTGAGTTGTGTAGGAAGAAGCCTGAGACGACGTATGATAATTTTGTCGGTGATTTTGGGGAGATGTACGTGCAGGGCTATGATCGGACAGGGAAGAGGGCTAGTGATTTTTGTGAAAGTGCTATTGAATAGGCCATTTTGTTTCTCTCGTATGGACTAATTCCATTGATTGTGTTCTTTATGGTTGTGACTCGTTGATATTGAGTCGACCCAGTGAGCATGGAAGCCAGTGAAACCCCCACATTTTGATGAGTTGTGGATTTTGTGAGAGAAAAAGAGGATAGCAAAGGGATATTCGCCTGTCAATTTGGTCTAGCCCATAACTGCTCAAGTGAAGGCAACACAACCCCGTCGAAATATCAACGGATCAGGTGAGCGCTTGCTCTGTAGACAATCTATCCCTGAGCTAAAACTTTAGAAATTAAATACATCGCTACTGGATCCGTTTGCAGCAATTCGACATATTGTCATCATCATCTATGAGAGTGTATTCATGATATAGTCATAGTTTTCATAAGTTTACAGACGGGCCTTGTCCTCCTCGCGACCAACAAGGTTGGGGTGGGGAGCGCGGACAGGGCGAGTGACAGCGTAGAAAGCGAAGCCGGAGGACTTGGTGGAGAACTGCAATTATCGTTCACTAACCGGTCTTTGCGGACGAATTCAATCCATCTTGAAACATACCTTGACCTTGGAACCGACGTGGAAGAAAGCAAAGTCACCGGGGACTAGGTGGTGAGTGATACCAGTAGCCTCATCCTAAACCGAGCGTTAACATTGCCCATACTTAGAGCCAGTCGAAACAGAAACGTACCAACACATCAATTTGGCCGTTGAGAACGTATTTGGTCTCCTCGAAGTTGTAGTGGGCGGGGCGTGCGGGTCCAGCCTCGATCTTGTAGAAGCCGGAAGTGAAGTGAGCGGGGGATTCGGTCTTGGTGCGGATGGAGTGGAAGTCGGCGGTGGTTGCGTTCTCGCCCTGAGGAAGGGGGATGAACTCGTGGCCGGCGCCCTTGATGACAGTGAGAGGAACGAGGTTGGACACTGTTATATGTCAGGATCGGTTTATTAGGCCAATTGCTTGGTCTGGGTATTTCGGAACATAGCAATCACTCACTTGTGCTTTGAGATGTTTAGTTTAAGACAATTGCACAATTGGGAGACCAGCTGCCCTTTAAGTAAAATTCAGAAATCGTGATCGGGCGAGCACCCGGGATAGCTACAGGGACTCTGCATGGTTTACCCCCATGAGGGGAAAAGACCCCGGGTGCAGTGCCCGGTGGAGAACCTGTCGGGTGGAGGACCGGTGCCCACCTATAAAAAGGGCCAACCCCATTCCTTAGGACAATCGCGTGCTGCGGTGTAGGTCGACGAAACAGCAAGATTGTCTAATGAGTATAGTCAAGGAAAGACTAGCCGGGGAAGACACAGACTATGAAAATAACATCCGAAAAGGACGGTGTGGGGGAGATCTCCCGGCCAACCACCGTCTTGCCCTCATTTCCCCCGCATCACGGACCGCCGCATCACGGACCGGCTGCGCTTCCCTACGCGGCGAAACATTCCATTTGGAACTAATTGATCTTAAAGAGCTCACTCGCTCTCAGGTGCTTGAGCTAAGATTTTTTCGTGCTTCTGATCTTACGCAAATCAACGTTCGATCACCTTCCATCGATCTGGATGAGCTTCATGATATTCACAGATTCAATTGATTGAATATTCATTTTTTCAATGTCAAACATGCCTCACTCGTCTCCAAGGACTCACAAATACTTCCAGGGTTATATGCAAATATGACTACTCTACTTGAAATGGCATACTTCAGTACCTCATGCTCACGAATTCCTTGTAAGCCCCAGCCTTGGAAACAGAAAATCGACCAACGGATAGCCTGCCGCGATAAGGCGCTTGGTTGCAAATTGCGACCCTCTTGTCTGAATCAAGTTGCGAGAAAACTGAAAGCATCAGTGTATGAAGCTCTGGCAAAGTCTACAGGTCTGCTCATCTGTGGACTTCATGAGATGCCAAGGCACACAGAACGGCTAACCTTCATACCTGTGAGTCATTTGTACTCAATGACTCGACACCCTGAAAATATTAAAGCTTTGTTACTCTCTTCTTTCCCTTTCTTTATCTCACATTCGCCTCAATATTTTCGAGGTTCTAAATCCCACAATGCCTTCCCAATCCCTCCCAACCCCCGTCTCTTCGACAAAACAATTCTACGCCACAAACTCCCCATGGGAAGAAAAATACGGCCACTACCGCGCCATTCGCGTCGGACAACAAATCTACATCTCAGGCACAACAGCCGCAGACCCCGACAGTCTACCCGAAAGCCCACGCATGCTCTGTCCCGGGGACGCCCGCGGACAAACACGAGCAACACTCAACGAGATCATCAAAGCCATCCAAGCTCTAGGGGGACGAGGTGCAGAGAGCATTGTACGCACTCAACTATTTATTCAACGTCATGAGGATGCACCTGAGGTCATGGCGGGGTATACGGAGATTCTTGGACGGCAGAATGGTGGTGATGTCGGATCTACTGCTATCTTGCTTGTTGTTTCGAACTTTGCGGATCCGGAGATGCTTGTTGAGATTATGGTTGATGCGATTGCGGATGCTTCATAGGTTTCAACGGTTAATTGATTGGTTACGTGACTGTGCCATTTTTTCAGTATCTCTTTCATTACAGATCGGTTGTCTTTCCAATCTTCAAGCTATGACTTAATTTCGCAAAATACATAGAAGGATGCGTGCTTTAAATATTGAGTGGGTAGAAGGGATTGCATTGGGCTTGCAATGTTAGTTACAAGCTATACAGACCTATTTGCATATACATTTGTTAAAGGCAGTCCTAAAGAGGCATTTCAAGAGCAGTGAATACTTAAGTATGATGGGGATAATCAGCTTGATCTTATACTTAGGTACATGAACTATTCTTCCTCCCCAAGTCACAACTCATGATTTACACAAGCTTTATATCCTGGTGTGGAATGTCCTTCCAAAACTTAGGACCCCCAAGGTCTCGGTCTTCCGTATACCAGATTCCAAGCCGCTCATAATCGCCATCCTCGCCAACAGGTCGGACAAGAAGGCCCAACATCACTTCTTGATTCGTTATATCGAGACTCATTTCCATCCCTGATTGATCAAGAGAAGTCCTCGCTATGAGCAACATGGACAACCCATCCATGGGGCCGCGTACATTTTTGTCCCCAGAATCGTGAACCTTCCGACCGTCCCAATCCAAGGAGAGATGAGCGATATATTCTTCCATCTCTGACCATAATGAATACCGGAAAAAGATGCCCAACCATTTCACTAATTTCGCACTCTTGACCCGCGGCTTTCCAGTCTCAGTCACAATCGGTAATTTCACAACTTTGGCCCTGAGATGAAGCCGCCCTTGTATAACGAGACCGAAGGGATTGAAATCTTCGGTCAAAATTTCCGCCTTCTGGAGTTCGAATTCGGAAGACATAACGACCTCCGGGCATGCAGGCCCTGAAGGCCAGGTAGTGCTGGTAATGCTAGAACAACGAGCCCAGGTCCAAGACGGCGCCACCTCCTTGTTCTTCGACAGGCGTTCATAGTAATCCTCATAGTCCATGTATTCTGCTGTGCACCATAGAAGTCCCCGATGCAGGTCCGACTCCCACAGACCAGCAATGTACTTCTGCTCCGAAAACTCTTCATTTATTGTCCTTGCCAAAGCGGAAATAGCCGGCAGCCTGTCTTTCTCGACAGTGAGTCGTCTCTCAGAATAGAGGGAGACCAGCTTATACCAAGAGCACAATGTTTCTCTAAGGGAGGGCTTCTCTTCAAAGTAAGTTTGATGATTGAAGCCAGAGCCGTCCGCACTTAAGTTAATATTTCCGCTGGTCATATGGAACATCAAATCACCGAAGTAAATCTTGCGTGGCGGGATTGCATCTTCTTGAAAAGTCCACCCTCGCTTGGCCCAGTTTTGGTCGGCGAAGTCAAGATCTGCAGGCACATACTGTCCTTCCACGGCGGTCGCAAGACGTCTCAATGAGTTTTCAAATGTGTGGATCGCAGGACGCAACATTCGCAAATACAAATGACCAGAAATGGTGGTGTCTAGTTGTGATTGGAACCGGACTTTCACAGTCTGTGGCCGATGGTCTGGGTTCAGAAACCCACTCGAGCAGGAGTCTCCTCGAAGGATACAAAATGTGATGAAGCTGTGGAAGTACACTTCTGACATCCGGAAAGACTCTTTGCTCCAATCATCTCGATCATTCTGAATAATGCACAGCGCGTCGACCCAGAGATATCGGATTCCGAGGGCGCGGCTCAAGCGAACGAAATCTGAGATAGTTTGGGGCAATTTCTTGAAATCAATATCAACCAGGTGCTCTTCCAAGTTTTTCGAGTCTGTTTTAAGTTGGAATTTGGCCTGTTCAGGTGATCCCCAGCTGTAGCTCAATGCAACGTACTTTCTCTGCGCTGGCTCCAGAGCGAGAAGTTGCCCATCAGTGGCCGTGATAACCAGTCGCAAATTTGAACACCCATGTGGTGACAGATCAAGTAGCCGTGTAGGTAGGAAATCAGAACCATCCAAGGGAGTTTCTTGCACCGAAAGTTCAATCAGTTGCTGCAGGCGGTTCAGAGACCCTACGGACATAGGATCGTTCCATAAGGGCAGATGTCCCACGCTGAACAACGAAGCACAAGGATCTAATCGTTTTCAGATCAACATTCACCCTTGACTTTGCATATTTTAGATTACTTTACCTTCTGGCTCGGTGTGGATATTGTAATGTAGATAATACTCGCGTGAAATGCCCGGCGATCTGATGGTGAAAAGCACATACAACGCATCCAGCCAGATCTTAGGGTCCGGTTCGCTGCTGGTATTAAACTTTTCGAATTCGTATACCACCTCACAAATACCAAGCTCTGCTTCAGTCTCCCGCTTCTTGTTGATACTGCCCCAGGCGGTGATCAAGTCTTGCCGAAGTACTTGACAAAACGCACAACCCTCCGATGCCGTCGTAGCCAGGGCCGGTAGAGATGGCAGTGCATCGGTTCGCTGGTATTCAAGCTTCAAATGTGTCATTGGGCCCTCTTCTGGCTTCTCAAAAGATCCACTCCATTCTGCCCTGAAGTCTATTAAAGCTGATAAATCCCTTGCTAAAGCTATCGAGGACTCCCCCTTTTCTGCGGCTCGTTTCTCGAGGTTTTGTTGTATCGTTCCAAAGTCGACATAAGCCTTCCCATTTGCTGCTATTTGGATCTTGCCTCCCTGTTTTCGGTCATCCAGTTCGAGGACTTTACAGTATGTGCAGGGTCGATCCAAAGAAACCAATTCTGTATGATGGCCCCCATGGAGATCCGCCGGCGCTTGTGTCATGTCTCAGGAGTCAGGGATGAGGGAGAAAAAAAGTCTTTGCTCTGTTTTCTCTCTTGAGATTACACACAAAGGTCAAGAGGAATAGATGCGATGATGTTGAGTATCAGCGCATAGCATGACCAAGTACGGAGTATCGGGAATTTTGAGGCTCGCTTCTCAAGTTCGTTGGGTATTCATTTTTAGCGTATGCAGTGATACCCAATTACACCTACAGTAGCTCAATATCTCCAGATCTATCATTCAGGATCAATATGTTAAGCTTCAGATATCCCAAAGATCGCGGTACAAGAGCTTCACTCTAAAATAACTTCAGAAAGTATCTAAATCTAAGGACTTCAGTAGAAATTCGGACTATTTCTTAAATATAATATACTGTCTAGCCATTTTTCAGGACCAAATTACTTGATTACAAGTTAGAAGAGCAAGAGCTCGATAGAAATGGGAAAAGGTATGAGATCTTGCTTGACATACGTGGAAAGGAAAAATGATCAACACGGGAGATGTCAAGATAGACCCTAACCCGACACCAACCACAAGAACCTCACCACAACATGTTTCGAGCCATCCTCACGACCTTCCTATTGATGGTCCCACTATACTACATTTACAAACCCCCAAGTATCCTAATCCGCTACTTCACCCATCGCTGGCCAGATGTTCTCTTCCACGTCCCAACAACCAAAAAGATCGTCGCGCTAACAATCGACGACGCGCCCTCGATCCACACACCAGAAATCCTTCGTCTGCTGCAAGCCCACAACGCCGCAGCTACTTTCTTTGTAATCGGGTCTCAAGTACCAGGTCACGAGAACATTTTATCTGACATTGTTCGCGCGGGTTGCGAACTTGGGAATCATGCAATGCACGATGAGCCATCGCGATCACTCAGTGACGCCGAACTAGCGAGCCAGATTCAAGAAGTGCAACTTAAGATCTCTGAGGCTTATTCTGCTGCTGGTGTGAGGCAGGAGAGCTGGCTCTTTCGTCCTGGGTCTGGGTTTTTCAGCACGCGGATGAGATCGCTTGTGCACAGATTGGGGTATCGACTTGTGCTGGGTGATGTGTATCCGCATGATCCACAGGTACCATTTTGGAAGGTGAATGCGAGGCATATCTTGAGTATGGCTCAGCCGGGTAGTATTATTGTTTGCCATGACCGCAGGGAATGGACAGTGCCGATGCTACAGAAGGTATTGCCAGAGCTGGAGCGCCGAGGATATCGCGTTGTCACGGTATCGGAATTTTTAAAAGAGATGGAGTGACGCGCTGGTCCAAATAGAGGTCTTCTTTATTGTACATATCTTCATCTCTGGCTATGGGTATAATAGATTCCAACACTAGCCCATGATCTGCAACTGATCCTCTGGGGGCCAACGAACTTGCGCGAAACTGAGGCAGCGCTTGATGCTCTGTAGGTATTTGCGGGTGATTTCATCACTCAGAATGTGCGCTTGTTGATCGCTCTGGTGCAGCTTTTCTCGGGCAGAACGTTCGTGGATACCCACCATTGTAACACCGATGGGCCAGGCTCTGCATACACGTTAGCTTTGTTTCCAAGAAGCAAAAACACATGGAGGGGAGTGAACATACGCTTTACCAATGCTAACTCGGAGATAAGCATCGTTGGCATCAACATATCGCCGCTGCTGTGCCTTGTGCACGATCTCAACGATAGGTTCCAACAGCCCATCCTCCAAATCTGCCTTTTCGAAGAGACGGAATAATGGGGTCATGTTCTCGCGCGACTGAGTCATAGCTCCGTATGCTTGCTTGCCCTGGAAACTTTCACGCACTGTCACATCGCGCTTCGCCAATGCGAGCTCCCACTCTGATAAAACCATATTGAAATAAGACCCCAGCTGGCGGAAAAGGAACAAACGATTCTCCTGATCCTTCGGGATCTTCGAGGGGATGATCATCTGTCCACCAGACACAGGCTCCAATGTCGTGGGAATAGGTCCATCTGTGACCTTCTTCTTAGGAATGGCAGCCCGTTGAACTAGACGGCGGTATCGTCGGAGCCGTGCCCGGTAATCCTCTCCAAACAACCGTATAGGTGCCTCCATATCTCGTAATTTTTGCGTGAGCTCCTCCTCTTCGATATCCTCCTCATCATCGCCTTCGACTTTATCCTCCACCAGCTCAGGAAGACCCAGCTTCCGCCGCCTCTCACGTTCTTTGGCTGCTTCTTCCTGTTCTCGTTTCGCTTTTGATTCCTCGGCGAGCCGTCGTTTCTTTTCCTCCCGTTCGCGATTTCGGTCGGCTTCTTCTTCGTCAAGCTTGCGTTTGTTTAGATTGCGCTCTTCGCGTTCGCGGGCTATCCGTTCTTGTTCTTTGTGGTAGGCTTCAACTCGCGCAACTTCCTCCTCGCCTCGTCGTAGATATTTCTTGGCTGGCGCTGTAGTGGACCCTTTGCCGGAATCTTTGGCGTCGCCTCCTTTGGCCTTGGAGATCTCCTTCGACATAAGCGAAGCGAAATCCATGATGAACTGTAAGTAGCAAGCTACCGATGTAGTGACAGTTGTAAAAAGGTTGGTGGAGTGGGTGATATCAGATGTGGGGAGAAAGAGAAGAGGAAAAAGAATGTTCGGCAGCTTCGACGCATTTGTCTTCTCAGCAACTCACCCCCAACCCTCCCTCAACACCTCCTACCAAGCTCCAATCCCGCGACTACAAGCATCACTTGAAATCACATATATCGCCATTCTCTAAACCACCGCGCCAGCATTACCGCCATATCCAAGATGGCCGCACAGGGCCCCAAAGCTCCAATCAACCGCCAAACCACAGCCCCCTTCCACCTCAAGCTCTTCTACAGAGTAAACAACTACAATTCCCTCACCGACTACAGCATCCAAGCACCCCGACGCAGTGGCAGCGGCCCAAACTCCATTCGCCCATCATCACCCACTCCACTCCCACAACATCTAGAAATCTACACCTGGCAATCATGCACACTGCGCGAGCTCTCCCAGCTCCTCACCTCCGCTCTACCACGATTACTCCCTGATCCCGCGATCGGCACCAGACTCTGCTTCCGGCTGATTTACCCCGACGCGCGCGGCGCTGCAATGAACGGACCCGACGCCCGAGGCCGGTATCTGAGTCGCGATCTGGGAAGTGTCGTCGTCGCACCGAGAGATACCCAAGACGAAGAGGCGAAGCCAAGGATCCGATTCCAGGGTAATGAGGCTGATAAGCCATTGCATGATGAGCGGTTCATTGTTGGTGATTACATTGAGTGTGCTATCCTGCCTCCTCTTGACGATGGCTCTGTTGCGCCGGTGCTGAGTGGTGCGTCGGGTCCAATGTCTGGTCCGCGGGGTGGTGGTGGTATGCGCGCTTTCAGGGAGAATGGATTCGGTGGGTATCCGCGTGGTCCGAGGGGACGTGGTCCCCGTGGTGATCGTGGACCTCCGCATATGCCTCATGGTGATTGGAATCGTGGAGAGAGATTGCCGGATGGTGGACATCGGGGAGGTCGTCGTGGTTGGGGACCGTATTGAGAAAAGGATTTTTAAAACAGCTTGTTATACAGGCGATGGGATACCCATATTGAGTGATTTGTACGATTAAGCTAGTCCAAGCTAATGGAGAGAATATTACGATCTACTTTTCCTGTCAAGGACCATGTACCTGTAAGGCGAAATGAATCAACAGTAAGAAATCAAATGCGGTATATGATGTAAAGTACACAACCCACGCATTGGGCGGCACAAAGAACCAAGCAGCTTCGCAACACGACACCGCGTGCTCTCCAAGTTTTGTCGCTGCTGGCTTGTAAGAACGAATAACAAGACGGGAATCGGTTTCATTCGCTAATTGTCTACCACTCAGAGATGGTATCTCCCCGACGCTTTCCGCGGAACTCGAATTTGCCCTGGATACTGATTAGTTTCCCGTGTGATTCGCGACCAGAATTTCACTCTCTTACCTCGTACTTGTACGCGAAGTAGGTGATGATACTGGGGATCACACCCATGTAGACGAAGGCGAGCGAGGCATGGCGGGGGGTCCAGCGCCAGTACTTGTAACGGTTGGAGTTGAGTTCTGACGTCTGTTAGTTCTTGTTCGGATTCTGCCATTGCAACAGCGGTCTCCTCGTCGGGTCTTCGTCTGTCGCAATGTGTTCTGGGCGCGGCGTGCGATTGATCCGAAATCCTGGATCTGGGGCATGGGGTTGGGGGTCATGTACCGTAGAACTTCTGGTAGGCCGGGTCAAGGACCAGAGCTGGAGAATTGTTAGCGGTGAATTCAATGGACTCATTCAGAGGCACTCACACTTGCTAGGACCAGCCATTGTTGAGAGCTATGAGATAGGCACAGATGCAGTCGGAGTTGAATTCAGAAGGTGGAGGTCACATGTTGCTGAGTCAGGGATGATGTAATCATTCTGATTGGACAGCGCGCACTTGCCCAGGTGCACTTCTTCACTTTGGACTCAACACGAATCCTCTCAGGGAGTCAATCAAGCAGGTGGATGCAGATACCTGGCTTTTCGGCCCGCTACAACTCGGTCGGTCAAAAGGCTATCAGCCATACTCTCACCAACGCATCTGTCACTCCGCCACCGCTGTCGGAGAATCTTCTATTCCGATTAGTCTGCAATATCGGCGATATCTCTACAGTCTAGTCTATAGGAAACAGCGCATTTTGCAATTTCAAACTTCACTCATCTAGCGCAACATTGGAAGCGGCAATATCGACGTTCACCCATGAGCAGCGGTCTAGTTTCAAGATCAAAACTCTGCACCAGGCAGAACACAATGCCCGGACCTATTTGTTCTCAAGTTGAGTTTGAAGTCGAGATCTGGCAAGTCCGTGGTCTACTCTGAATGATGGCGACGGCATTACCTGAGCGCTACAGTGAGGATCTCGATTTCTCGAGAGTCGGGAAAGCGATATGCTTTGTGGTGTAGATGGGAATGATGTATTTGAGCCTTTTCGTATTAAACACGGAGCAAAATGAGACTCTTCTCCCTAGAGCCTCTGACAGGGATGTGAATTGACGGGGATGGATGTCTTAAGTTTGAACATAGATTTGGCAATTGCTACATTGATCTCATCATACAGTGTTGTGAACTCGAGGCCGACCTCGGCCAACCAGATGTCCCTTAAATCTCAGCGGGTATAATCAGACTTGACATAACACAAAAACAGGACTGGATCTTCTTTACATAGAAGCAGAGAATTTCCCATCGATATCCTCGATCTTCTTAACAGCGCGCTTGTAGCCATCGAATCCCTCAAGGCGTTTAGCATAAGCGACCAGAAGAGGGAACTTATCCTTATTCTTCTTGTCCTTCAGTACGCGCATAGTCACAGCGATAACCGGGAAACTCAGCAGAATATCCGCAGCTGTCAACTCTTGACCGCAAATAAAATCACCACCGCTGGGCGAAGTGCGCAGCTGGTCCTCCAAGAAAGCAAGATTGCCCTCCACATTACGAGTCAAGAACTGATTCTCAACCTGCGATGCGACAATAGTGGTAATGGGTCTGACAAAGAATGGTGGGGCATTGCGGATAGCTATAGACGTCAATCTCTTTTATTTTTTTCGTCCCGCTAGACAGGAGCAACTCACAGTCGTTGACCAAAGTCATTACCAAAAAGGGCATCAGACTACCCTCGGCATAGTGCATGAAGTAGCGATACCGCATCCATTCTTCGGTCTCGCCGCCCACTTTCCCCTCTTTGCCGGGGGTGTACCGCTGTGGTACGAGGGAGGGGCAGGCGCTGCCAAAGTGGTCGACCAGGTACTCCACGATCGCACCGGATTCAGCCAGCACGAGCGGCTTTGTGGAATCCGGTGCTTCGATGGTGATCACGGGTGATTTGCCCAGTGGGTGGACTTCTTTCAGTGCTGCGGGCGCGAGCTTGTCCGCGCCGCGCTTGAAAATCTTGAGCTCATACTTGAGCTCTAGCTCTTCCAGGAGCCAGAGAATTCGGTGGCTGCGAGATTGCTCGAGCCTGGACTGTCAGTAAGGACTTGAGAATTGTATGGGGGTATTTACCAGTAGAGAGTAATTTTACAGCCTTGGTTGTGATCGGTCATTGTGAAGTTGAAGGACAAAAGTTGGAGGGCGCGGAAATATAAATGATGTCAAGGCCGAGGATGTGATAATCTGCAGATCACCCATGTGAACTTCGGGAATTGCCCTCGTTTTCGGGCCTCTTTTATTTTCTGTTCAACTGCTACTGATGCATTTTTCTTTATTTAATTCATACCGAAATTTCCATTCATCGAATGTTGACCAACATCTTCTGGTACGAATTTCAGTTCAGCTTTGCACATCAAGGAGCTCACTCTTTCTACGAAGGTTGTTTAAAAAGAGGCTCTAGTCCCAAGTCAGTGCTTAGCTTGTGGATACTGATCTCCCGAATTCCCTAATTTGCATGCATAAGTACTCGTATGTATTAATGCCTGGCGCTTGAACCCCGTATCCCCCTGTTTGCAATGGTTGCACTGCAGGCAGAGGGGCCGGTTTTTTCTTGATCCCTCAAAGCAACCGTCACTGTATCCGACACCGTACCCGTTGTACAGAAAAGCAAACAACCATCGAGTATCAAAGCTTAGTCCTAGCCTTTTCTTTCTGATCCTTGTACACGAATAATTTTCTCCCCGTTTCAAACAATCTTGTTGGGGGTTTTTTCCCCTCGCCTCTCCTCGATCAGCAGCTACGAGACCATGCCACAAACTCCAAGACTGCTCGACTACGGGTGCACTGATTGGCTGATTAGTAGTCAAATAGCCGCAGATCTGTACAATTCTGGTACCAGACTTTGGACAAAAGAAGACCTTGAAGACATAGAACAACAATTGCATCAATCCTATGCGATGGAGCGATTTTCAGTCCGTCGAATCGATGGAAGCATGATCCAAATTTCTAATCCCATGTTCCAAGTACCGAATCCTATCTGGTAAGTGGGCATGGTCTTCTAAATCAATTTCAGCCTGCAATCTAACTGTTCCTTAGGAAACCTCATGTCAAGTACCAAGAATATTGGCAACTTGTGAATGCACAACCCAATGGCCCAGTTGAAATTTACCTGTGCTCTTACATTGTGGATTGGAGCAATCAGACTGCACGGAACTTCCGAGAGCTTCTAGCACAACCTATGCAAGTCTTTGACGAGAAACACTTGTTGTGGCAGAATAGCAAGACCTGCAAGCACTTGGCAACCTTGGTCCAAGATATACTCGGTACAAACACTGTGAAGAAGGTTCTTTGCTTCGGGCTCGGTGAATTTTGCCGCTCTGCGCCAGAATGGCTAAAAAGGCAACACGACTCTTGGGATGAGGAATCTGGGTTGCATGATTCAGCATTCGATGGCTCCTACTATCGCTCAACTTTGTCGTGGCAATAAAAAATTGCCATTACTTGCTCAGGACCCAGATTATACCGAGGTCGCGGAAGAGATCCTGACCAAGAAGGAATTCAAAATTGTCGGAACTCACGGTGCAGGAGGATTCGCGGAGGTTGACGATGAATCGATCATAATACCACCCTTTGCTGCCGCTCCAATCAAGCAGATTATCGCCGATCTTGCTCGGCCTGCGCTTATAATTTCCACCGGCTTTGAAGTCTTCAATGGCAATGAGTAAGTTTGCTTTTACCGATCCTCAAATCTGTCTAACCATGGCACTTCCCAGAAAACCATTGGCAGATGCTGAATCTCCGAGAACAAGGCAAATGTGGTTGGAATATGACACCTATAGCCTTCCAAGCCATTCTGATGACGTTGAAATATGCTCTGCGCTGAAGGGACTACATTTGTATTGTAGGCGCCAGCAAACTCTGAATGCGCAAGGGGCCTGAGTTCATGTAATATCATATCTAGGCACGGTGGATCACAAACAATCGGAAAGACGAGATGAATTCAGAACGGAAACCTCATGTACAATTCCTGGTCTCTCCCACCCTTTATGTGCTGCGGTGGATTTCGTAAACTATTTCAGGCAGCCCACAGATTCATTACTCAGGAGAATCCTTACGACTGGTCGTCGGTCAAGCAGTTTCAGTAAAAGTTCAAAAATTGCAGTTGTTCACTCTGCCGCCTCCGATCATATCGCAATGTAAACAATCTTGTGAAGCTAATCTATTCAAAATACGCGTATAATCTGTATAAATTTAAATAATTAAAACTGCTTATTGATTAAACAGAAAGTAATATTGAGTAACCAATAAGTACCTATTTGATAAATATTTATTGCGGAGCGAAGCGAAGCAATTATTTCAAATAGAAAATAGAGGCTGATTTGGCAAAGTACATAGTGCTATTTGACAGATCTCACCCCGACGGACCCCCATTACACCGTAATTAATTGGACCTCATAGGGCATTGCCTCTAGTCATGCCCCAATTACAAGCACTCTTTACACATATTAGGGGGTCTGGAAGGTTCAATTGGTCCCATTACCATCATATCTCTCGCTTACTCTTTCTCTCTCTCTCTCTCTCTCTGAGCTGTTCCAGACGCGTAAACGGTAGTCGCATTTTAATGAGTGCTGAATTTGTAGATTTGATAACCAAAAAGGGTCAATCTCGGAGATTTCTATTGGCTGGTGAGTACATATATAACTTTGTATGAAGGGTATGCTCACACGGTCATCCCATCATCGCAAATCAGGTGACCTATCCGCAAGTGGGGTAAAATTGATTCTTCATCATACGAGTACACAAGTAGTAGTACTATTTGCCCAGGTGTGCGAGATCGCTGACAAATTCTGTGCGCGCGTATCCGGACCCTGAATGGACCGTACAGTATTTCTTCACGATTGTCAGCCTCTCAATAACAAACTAACAAGTAAAGTGCTCGAACTGTGGGCCCGTGTGATGCTGATCAGTTGCGGTGAATTTAGCTCATGTTATCATGCACCCACAGTCCAGATCGCACAGGTCCAATGGAGTGCTGTTATTGCTACATCTTATGACGATTCTCAATCATCATGTGTAATGGATCCGGATTTTATGCAGATCATAGTAGAAAGAGCAGGCTGCAACTCGCACGGTCCAGCCAGCCATGTTACGACCGTTCGCCAGCTATAAGAATAGAAGCCCCAGCGTCAGTGTCTTTTGAAACTTGCTCAAATTGACATCAACATCTCATCAAAATTATTGTTTGATATCTTCATCATTTACAATGCACTACTCCTCGTGGGAAGAGTATCTCAAGCACGAGAAAAAGAAGCGGGAAAGATTGGATGATGAAACTGCTGAAAAAAGCTTCCTTCTCTACGCTAAGAGCTACGAGCTAGAAGGACATGCTGTTCTCAAAGCTGTGCTCCAGGATGACAACGGTGAGGAGCGAGTGTCTCGGCTGGATCTAAACAACCATATTGGAGCGGAAATAGGTGGGAACCAAAACCGTAAGTCCATTTCGTCTTTCGAAGGAGCCAGAAAGCCTGACACGATACTCTTACATCCAGCTTATTTAACATGGGGCCATGGTTTTGTACAAAAAACCACGATTGACCACACCGAGATTCATCGGAATCGCGAATGGGGCCCAATGTACTGTGTTCGGTTTAGTATGTGGGACGATTTTTGGAAATGCACGTATTCAGAAATCCATCAAAGGTTCAACCTTGGAGATCATGTCACGGTTAAAAATGGCGAATTGGCGTTTACATGGGGCCTGTACGTATTCGCTGGTATATTTCCCGTGCTACAAGAAAGCGCTAACTTGCAATTAACAGTCTAGTTGGCGTACCACGGCCCCCTATAGAGGAGCCCTGGCGATTTTATTTCAAGGACCTTAAAGGCCTTGAATTATTGCTTAGTATGCAAGATGTTCAGCGCTGCTTTTTGGCCGATTCACAAGGGGCACAGCACTTGCAACGCCAGGCTTTGAGCTTTAAGTATTATTACCCCGATTTGGAGGCAGGTGAAGATCTGCGAAATGGTGACATGACCCCCTTCCTACTGTGGTTGCGGTTGGAGTTCCGCGCTGGCCGTCTTTCGATTAGAAAGAAGATCGAAAAGAACTTCGGCCCCCTGGAGGATGACAGACTCGCGAGCTGGTTAATGTGAATGGTCACCTAACAGATCCGAAGTTAGAATTCCAGAAGTTATTATTCAATGCCTAAATTCACAGGCTATGAGCCAATTGATTCAATGCTTGCTAGACCTCTATCTCTGCTCCGCGATCTGGAACTGGAACAACTATAGTCTGGGCAGATCCGCCATTTCAATAGGTACTGGAAAGGAGGGCGGTTAAGCGGCGGCTCGTTCTCCAAAGTTACAGGTGGAAAGGCGGCTATTTCTGGCGCCAAAAGCGACCAGTTTCGGCGTCGATTTCAGAGGTCGTCACATTCTAGATACAACCTAGTTTTATGGAATTCCAGTCCTCGCACACGAACTGATACCGAAAAAAAAAAATCGTTTGTGAATCACTTTGTACAGTTTTGGATTCCAGGAGACAATGGCTTGTTCTGGATGACATTTTATCCGTGCGGCAGGTCCTCACGCGAGGGGCAAGTATCCACTTCTCAAGCAATGGTACTCTTATTCGGAACAAGTCAAATGGGAGAAATATTTTCACTGCAAGTCAATATCATTAAGTGTATGCGCTCGACCTATGGGCAAATCGCTTGTTTCCAGGCTATCATGTCAGCCCCCAATCACTCTGACACAACAGGCTCGCTCACATGAGCCGTGCGAATATCCGACAGCTGAAAAGGCAAACAAACCCACGGCATTAAAGATGATGTGCCACACAAACCCTGCAACCCATGTCTCCAGGGGCGAATGACTGAAACCCTACATCGTCGCTCAAGTGGCTGCAAGAGAACTAACTACGCCATGGAAAACTGGGTGTCAAGGATGGTGCATATGATATTGGACAGTGGTCATACAGCAACTTTTCATAACCTGGGTCGCATACTACCGTACTCCGGTGTCAGCTTTGCTATGGCCGCCGATCATTCTTTTACTATAGCAACCACTCCAGCGATTCAATCACTTTTCCTCCAGAAGGAATCTGCTTGCGGAGACGCACCCAATATACGGCGCATAAAGCTAAGCTTTAGACTTGTAGAATGCTTGCTGCTAATTGTATTGGCGATCTCATGCGTAATTGAGCTTCTTAAGTCCTAGCAGGCCCGCTCCGGCTTAACCCCCTCCATCTTTACATCCGCAATTTACATATCCCCGCACTGGTTTTTCTGTTTTATGCAGCTCAGTCATTGCATCGGTGTAATCTATGACAAAGACCTTTCTCTCTACTATTTTAACACAAACTTAATCACCGCCAGGTACGGATTGGACATATATTTCACAACTCATGACACTACTCGGACATTCTCCCCGGTAGTACGTGTAGTCTGAGGTCGCTCCCCACCTGGGCACTCATTCCATTAAGCTTAAAAGTTTCTGTCTTCAAAGGTAATTTCAACGAGAGGTCCACTTCCCGGAATCATTGAGCAACACGGTTCTCAAGTTCATGTCATGTATAACCGTCGATCTTCCCCGCAGTCACTCCAGAATTGCCGAGGCACCGGCATCCCTTGATACATAAATCTTCCATTGCACCCCACGAAGTACCAAGTATCCAAAATCAAACTCAAAACAACAATGTCTTCAATTCCCATCCCCGAATCCTACGAGAGCCTAAACCTAACACACATAAACATCTCCCACTACCCCCCATCACCAACAGCAACCCCAATCGTGATCCTAAGACTCAACCGCCCAGACAAGAACAATGCCTTCACACCACAAATGGGCCAAAGTCTAGAGCAGGCATATGCCATGTTCCACCTCGACCACCGCGTCAAAGTGATCGTCCTGACAGGCGCCGGCCGAATGTTCTGTGCTGGCTCCGACCTGGAAATCGGATTTGACGACAGAGTGGAAAGGGCCAGCGACTTCCGTGACACGTACTCACCCCCAAACCCCAGCTGAAGAATAGTGTTGATATTCAACAGTGGCGGCCGAGTGGCATTGGCCATGCACAGATGTAGCAAACCCACCATCGCCGCTCAGCAGGGATCGGCAGTTGGCGTCGGAATGACAATGACATTGCCAGCGGCGATTCGGTAAGATGAAACCCATCGCCCTCCAAAACTGAAGCTTCCAGCTAAGAATCCAAGAATCTGCCACGAGCGAAGCAAATACGGATTCGTCTTTACCAGACGAGGTCTAACAATCGAATCCTGCGCTTCATTCTTCCTACCCCGTTTAATTGGATTCTCCAAAGCAATGGCTCTCATAACGACCGGCGGCGTATATCCAGGATCATCAAAATATTTCGGTGATCTATTCACGGAAGTTTTGGCTGATTCAACATCCGTGCTACCACGGGCTTTGGAGCTCGCGACGGAAATGGCTCAGAATGTTAGTCCGCTGGCTTCTGCTATGAGTCGATCTTTGATGTGGGAAGGTCCGGGGTCGCCTGAGGGTGCTCATCTTCTTGAGTCGAGGGTTTTCCATCATATGGCGGGTCAAAGGTGTGTTTTCTTTCATCCAGATTTGGATCAGGGCTAACGGCTGGTAGTGACTATAAAGAAGGGGTGAATTCGTTTTTGGAGAAGAGGAAGGCGAATTTCTTATCTGATCCGCATGCAAACAGCTCGGGGGATTATCCGTGGTGGTCTGCGGTTGATATTAGTGTTGAGCCGAAGGGGTCGAAGGCTAAGCTGTAATGTACCTTCTCAAGAAATATCACCACAGAGCAACTTTAGAAAAATACGACTCAATCTGAGTAAGAGATAGGCTCGATTTATTGTCGCAATTGGAAATTTGGAAGAACCATGCCTATAAGCACAGTCATATAATATTTGCACTCGTCTTCGCTACCGTATTGGGCCTTGCCAAGCTGATCAAAACTGATGCAAATAGATGGATTTCCAAGGTTAGATTTATCTAGAACACATCTCAGCCTCGTTCATTAACATTAGCAAAGAATTCTTGGCAAGGAAATAATTTCCAAATTTTCCCCCAACATGTCCATGTCTCTTCTGCGGTTAGCATAATGGCTCCCGGTAGGACCAAGGCTTAGCAGCCGGGTGGACATCAACTGTAGAACCTTGGAACGAGCCAACGAGGCTACAGGAATGAATTTAAAAGAGACTGCTCAAGTGCATCTCGGCTCGTTCAAGTTACTTCTAAAGTTGATAATGTCTATTAAAGTACTAATCAAAGATCATCACAGAATGGGGAATATGGACACTTCCCACTGCATTTTACTCAGAGAAACTTTAGAACAAGCAAGATGATCATTCCCTGTGACCTTGAAGTCACATTCCAACTTCAGCGCTGAAGTACACCAAACATCCAACCCACGCGTAGCAAAGACTCACTACAACTGGCCGCCAAGCAACGCTCCTGAGCCGCCAGATACGGCACGTGCATAGATCGACGATATAGACTCCAGACTCACTACATATAACCAACACACCACCATTCCCAGGTAGCTTTCAAACATGAATCAACAATGTCTTCCCCCAACCTCCGTGGCAAGAAGATCCTCCTAGCAACGGAATCATGGGGTCCCGTGAACGGTGTATCCCGCACAACAAAAAGCCTAGTAGAGTACCTACTATGCAACGGAGCAGACCTCACCCTCGTGGCACCAGTCTTCCAAGGAAAACAGTCATCTCCATCCGAGCTCCGTCTGCCCGGCTGTCCACTCCCCTACAACCCAGATCTAACAGTCGCCTACCCATTCCATCTCAAACAGATCTTCAACACTTTCACTCCGGACCTGGTTTACCTAGCCAGTCCGGCGTCGCTGGGATTCCAGATGTTGTTGCAGATACGGCAGTTGCGGAATCCACCGCCTGTTCTGCTGAATTTTCAGACGGATCTTTCTGCGTATGCGGAGATTATGCTGCCGGCTCCGTTGGATGGGTTTGGGGTTTGGTTGCTTGGGACTGTGCAGGGTTTTTTGTTTCGGACGGAGGCTGTGAGGAGGATTTTTTATCCTTGTCGGGATATTAGGGGGTATTTGGAGGGTGTTGGTGCGCCGGTTGATAGGCTGGTGAGACTTAGACGGGGTGTTGATACGGGGTTATTTTGTCCGTCACGGAGGGATGAGGAGTTTCGAAAGATGATTGCGCCGAATGGGGAGATTGTTTTGATTACTGTTTGTCGGATTGCGCCAGAGAAGGGGTTTGAGTTTTTGGCAAGGGTTGCTGAGAGACTTGTTGATGAGAAGGTGGCGTTCAAGCTGGTGATTGTTGGTGGGAATCGGAATCCGGTGGTTGAGGAGAAAGTGCAGAGGTTGTTTGATGGTGTTAGGGATCGTGTTTTCTTTACGGGCTTTTTGACGGGGGATGCCTTGTCGAGGGTTTATGCTTCTGCGGATTTGTTCTTGCATTGCTCTGTCACTGAGACTTTTGGTCTGGTTGTTCTTGAGGCTATGGCTAGTGGAGTGCCGGTCATTGCGCGCGATCAGGGCGGGCCTTCGGATGTTATCCAGCATGGTCAGACGGGGTATCTGGTTCCGCCGCGTGATCTGGAGAGGTTTGTTCGCCTTATTCAAGAGGTGACGGGGGATAGAACCTTGCTGGCGGAGCTTGCGGGTGCTTCTCGTCGGTATGCGGATGATACCACATGGGAGAAGATCAATTGCCGGGCTGCCACGCATATGGCGGAGGTGTTATCGCAGACAGACCAGGAGTCGCAGGTGCCCCGGCAGGTTGTGCGGCCTGGAATGGTTGGGACATTCTTTGAGCAGCTTCGGTTGATGCTTGCGGTTGGGTTTGTCTATTTCATGTGGTTGATCTCTGTTGTGCCACTTATTGTTCATGGGAATCGTTTCTTGCCTCGTGCCTGGCAGGCTCTGCAAGGCCAGTTCCAGGGCACGAGGCCGTTGCGCAGTTAATGTTTAGTGATACCTACTTGCAGTTAATGTTATGAATTATGTCTTCAATGGGGTTCAATTGGGTAACTCGAATATCACTTCACTTCACAGCCTGACTGGCTCTGTGTCCCGACGGGCCAGGACATGGCCCTCGGTCACCAAGGAGTTCTTGCACGAGAGACCCGAAACGAAATCAGAGAGGTTGCTCAATGTCACCCCAGAGATCTCCTCCAGGGCCTCCCGAGTAAAGAAACCCTGATGACCACAGATCAGCACATTGTGAAAAGTCATCAACCGCATCAACACATCGTCCTCGATAATCTCGCCGGAGTGGTCATTGTAGAACAGCTCTCCTTCAGCCTCATACACATCCAAGGCCAACCCACCGAGCTGCTTCGTCTTCAGCGCCTGAATCACAGCCGTAGTATCAATGAGCCCACCCCTAGACGTATTCACCAACAAAGACCCAGGCCTGATCTTCCCCAGGGTCTCCTCATTAATGAGATGCTTCGTCCCCTCCGTCAGCGGACAATGCAAGCTAACAATATGACTCTCCCTCAACAACTCATCCAGTTCAACCAAAGTGCCATACTGGCGGAACTCCTCCCCGGCAAAAGGATCATACGCCAACAACCGGCATCCAAACCCGTTAAAGATCCGCGCGGCAGCCAACCCGATCCGCCCAACACCCACAATCCCCACCGTCTTCCCATGCAGCGTATTCCCCAGCAAACCCTCGATATTGAAATTCCCCTCCCTCACCCGATTATACGCCCGGTGCGTCTTCCGGTTCAGCGTCTGAATCAACGCCACAGCAAACTCCGCCACCGCCTCGGGCGAGTAGGCCGGGACATTCGCCACGAACAGGCCTAGCGCTTCCGCCGTGGGCAGATGGACGTGATTGAACCCTGCGCAGCGAAGCAGGATCGCACGCACGCCGTAAGCATGCAGGGCGCGCAGCACGGCTTCGTCGAGTGTGTCGTTCACGAAGACGCAGATGGCGTCGCAGCCGCGTGCTAGTGGGACAGTTTCTTGGGAGAGGGAGAAGGCGTGGAAGTCGATCTTGCATAGGTCTGGGAATCGTGCATCGCGTACCTGCTCTAGATAGGTGCGATCGTAGGCCTTGGCGCTGAATACTGCTAGCTTCATGATGTTTAGATGTTTACTGGAGGGTTAGTGGATTGAGTTTTGGGAATGTTGATAGCTAAAGTCATGTCGTCATGAGATCCGGGGTTTTCCCATCATGCCATGCACGCGACCGTTTTGGGTCGATGTACCTACCGTGTCTTCCATCTTCCCCGGTTCCGATCGACTGTTCCCTCCCGCATTCTGGCATAGTACTGCTACTCGTACATATGCAGTTCATTGGTTCCCCGGGGCAAGGGATCTTGCAGCGGAATGGCTGCTGAAACCGGAGCGGATGGCAATATTCCTCGAACAGCCTCTTTGGTACAAGCTAGGTGCTTCCCATGTAACATGAGGCTGGGATGTGACCTGCTAGACCTAATCTGGATTCAATGCCGGCCTTTCATTCTGGATGATTACTTGTTGGAGAATATTGCCATTGCAGGGATGGTAATTGGTGAATGTTTTAGCGCGGAAGAACAGAAGGAAGTGGAACTGCCGAGGAATGGAGGACAGTGGAATGCCGTTGGGCGAAGTGCAAGTGCCCAGTGGACTCGAGTGGACTCGAGTGGACTCCTGAGTGGACCGACTTAACCCAAAAGGTCAGGCCGGCCCGATGTCCAATGGCATCTCAGCCAATAGGGAGTTGCAACTGGAAGCGCGCCAATCAGCAGTCTTTGATAAGAGTTCGGCGCCACCGTTCCTCTGATTGGCCACTAGTGCATGAACTAGCGAAACATCGGAAGGAGCGAGTCTCTCACATTCCTCTTTTTGGGGTTTTTGCCTCACCGTCCTTTCTGCTCATTTAGATGCTGCATTAGTCTGACTATCTCGGGCCACCTCCGTAGCCTCTTTACGAGTATACAATATGTATATGATTACTCCGTGAATATCCCGGCATTTGCTCGCATCAACTCAAATATAGAAATAATGTAACTCCGACTAATTATGGGGCAACTGGGTCGACTGGGGCTACTGGGGCTACATACAGCAAGTGGGGAGAACCGCGTGAAGGGAAAGCCGTCATGGATGCCGGCCTTCTAGCTGAACTTACTTGGACAACCTTCAATCAAATAAGATAGGATTATCAGACTGATGACCTCAAAGGATTCAAATCACAACAAGCGGTCAATTCCAGCGGGAATTTATGATCTCATGAAACATACAGGGCACATTGTACATACGGAACTGATCCGGTGGAAAGGTACTGCGGAGGGACACGGGCCATGTATACATTAGGGTGACCTGGCCCCTGCAACGTGCAATATTGGGGTGGAAGTACTCGGATGTCACTTCAACCTCTCTCAACTGTGTAGTATATCCCTTTCCTTCACCTCCTTTTACTTGGGCTTATACTGAAGTACTTAAGTGTATAGTCCTACTCGTACTCTCCCTTCTAAAGTTCTACTCCCATATGCTTACCTCCTACTCGTACTCTTCCATTTGTAAACACTGTTCACCCGTTCTCCAACATCTCCACTTAACCGTTCCCGTCTCCATTTCACCTCGGCCACTTACCGTGCAGCTGTTTGCCTCTCCGGCTGAACGGCCTTTTCCTGATCGCCGATAATTAGTCTCCTCCTTATTTGCCCCTCTATACAATTAAAGGATGCCCTGCGCTTTCCAGTGACGGGCTGATCTTCTGGCAACTTTAACTCTGAACTTTACCCTCCAACTCTTCTACTTCACACCTCTACCTCTACATCTTACTTCTACCTCTACATCTTATTTCTTACTTCTCACCTCTTACCTTTTTACCTTTACCTCCTCTTCTCACCTTTTATCTCCACTCTACTCATCATGGCGACTCACGTTATCACTTCTACTCCGGCCAGCCAGATCTCCGTCTATGGCCAGCCATCACCTACCAACTCCGCCCACAATTCTGCCACCAATACTCCCAGCAATAATTCCCCCACCTCCCCACGCATGGCCACCGCCTCGCTGCACCAACTGCCACTGCAGTCGCGCCAGCTGCGTCCTCTCAAGGGTCCGCTCTATGTCCCAGCCGCGCTGCGCCCAACCGAGCGTCCCCAGAAGTCGTCTCCCATCACTCCTCCTCGCAGCGTGCACGGCTCCCTCGACAGTCTGAACGAGGACGTCGAACCCATCAGCCGTCGCTCAACCATGGAGAGCCAGTCCAGCGGAATCAGTCAGGACGCTCAGCACGAGTGGCTGAAGACTGAGGATCTGGGTGATGTCACCGGTCAACCAACTCGCGAGCACTGGAAAGTGAGTATTTCTTGTTCCTCATTTCCCGTCCATGCGCCTTTTATAAGGATCCGCAGCTGGGATTACGCAGTTATGCCTGCAAATGTCGTGTGAGCTCGTCATTCATGGCGTGCTCTGCTCGACCCCAGCCACACTACCCGCGCCTACACACACACACACATCTACTCAATTACAATGCTAACTTAACCAGGCTGACTCGGCCTCTTCCAACTGCGACTCCCCTACCTGTCGCTCTTCCTTCGGCATCTTCCTGCGTCGCCACCACTGTCGTCACTGCGGCCATGTCTTCTGTGCCTCCCACACTCCCCACCTCGTCCCTCTGGACCAGAACGCCCGCTTCCACCCAGACGGCGTGCCCTCCCGCGCCTGCGATCTCTGCTGGAGCGCCCACCAGCGCTGGGAGGAGACTCGCTCCAACCGCCTGAGCAAGATCCAAAGCAACATGGATACCCAGGGTGTCTCAGTCCCCGACTCCGAGCACCTGGAGAACCCCGAGCCTGCCCAGTCCGGCGAGGTCGCTGCCTCTGTTCCCCGTGACTGGAACTGGAGCACCTTCTAAGCGCAGAACCTGGGTTACTGCGGTAAGCAGGTCTGCTGCAGCATACGTTTTCACTTCTGTCATGCTCGCGTGACTGTTTTATTTTTTTTTTTCTCCTTCTCTCCTGTTTCTCTTGGCGATTATGGTTCTGGCGCTCGCCCTGGTGGGCTTCACTTTCTTGCTCTTTTCAATTATGGTCGGCGCACACGTCTAGACGGTTTCTCCCGGTCCTTAGAGACCATGTTTTTTGCTGCGTTGATCAGGATACCCCGTCAGTTTTCTCTCGGCGTCTACTCGTTTTTTCTTTTCCATTGCCAAGTCCATGACATGATTTCCAAGAATTACTTCAATCTGAATCTGAATGAACAACTTGAATCCAATCTCCTCCTCGTAAACTCTTCCAACTCCAAACCCAATATCTAATCCAATCCCACCCTCCTAAACATCCCACAATGCTCAATCCCCTCCTCATCCCACCTCCCAAGCCCCTCATCAACCACAAACCCAAGCCTCCCATACATCCCCTCAACCCCAACCTGAGCATGAACAAGCACCAACCCCCTCCACCCATTCTCCACCAGTATCTCCCTCCCAATTCCAACCGCCCACCCAAGCGCCGTCTCCACTAATCGTCTCCCAAGCCCAAGACCACGGTATTCAGGCATGATCGCCACACGCGTCAATTTTATGCACGGCTCGTGTGCTTCGCCTTCCCCCTTTTGCTGGTGGGGCGGTACGAGGCGGATCGTCCCCACTGCTGTGGTCCCGGAATACAGGACCCAGTGCCAACTGCGGGAGTCGTCGGTGTCGATCTCTGTGGCTGCGGAGCAGTTTTGTTCGTGGACGAAGACTTGGAGTCGGATTTGGAGGGCGTCGTTCAGGATTGGTGGGTTTGTGGGTGAGGTTAGGGAGAGGGGGGTTGGGCCTGGTGGGTGCAGGGCTGTTGTGTATTCGTTTGACATTTTGGTTGTGGACTGGAGTGCGAGAGCGAGGGTAAGACTTCAGGAGTGTATGTGTGAGTACAGTATGGAGAATCACGGCTGTCTTCTACTCGTGCAAGCACTCGTAAGGTTATCTCGTTTAACTCAGTTGAGTTGAGTGGAGATGTTCCCGTATCGGTTAAATTATGCCAGTCCGAGGAAGAATTAAAAGATATTTATAACCACTAATACGTGGGTCAAATGTTCTGAATGTCTGCAGAACTGACATGATCTCCAATTCTGCATAAAGGCATGTAAGTACGAGACACGTACTCGTACTTACGAGTATTCAAGGTTGATGGATCATGAAGGTTTCTTCACAACAAGTGGATTCACGGGAACATTCGCCGGGACTACAGCATTGGGCGAAGAACCCGATCAACAAAGATTACGACCGCTCCAAATCTCCATACATCTCCACGGAGGTAGATCTATGCCAAATCGGCCTGTCAGATATGGAAGGCGTACAAATCGATATCACATTGTGCCGCATTAGGATCTACTGTCGTCTTGGAGAGCGTTACATAAAGTGAAACAATGATTGGGGGTTTCGATCCACTCGGCTGTTGACTGTTATTAAGACAGACTTCACTTCGTACTCTGTATACGAGTATAGACCTGGCTTGATTGGATCCAATCATATCCTCGTACGAGGACGGGTATAACAACCACAGGCAATCCAACAAGCTCACACCTGTTGCTCCAGGGCTGACCCAGTAACAGTCTTGACAAAAGCGAGGAGCTCGGCTAACAGTCCTGCCGGGCTCAACGAGCAGACACAGACAAGTGAATTAAGCCCAAATGTTGACCACCAGCCAAGTCATCACTGATGAAATAGCGAAGACTCCCGAGGTTAGAAAAATAGTTCATATCGATAACGATAACGATAACGATAGCACCGCCATGCAAACAGAGCAAACAGCTCAGATATCACCGCGGAAATCGCAAATTTCACCAACCCACACGCGATGTCCCTCTACTTCGATGCAGTCGCAATCCTGACAGCCCCCTCGTCAGGAGGCTCATTCAAATCCCGCATCTACAGCGCCAGGAACCTACGAGCTTCCCCAGCCCAAATCTACGCGCTAACCACCGAAGCCGCAAAATGGGATACCGTACTAGCAGATGTGATTGACAAATCGGGGATCTTGGCTCTAGAGCGAAAGGTACCCAAGCCAATGTAAAAAAATATGAGACTTGGATTTAACCGATTGATCAGCTCTCGCCTCTTCTGGCCCTCCTACTAGTTCACGATCACTTGCTCGCGAAAAAAGGCATTGCTGCACCCGCAACGCATACACTCCGCCAAGCCGTCGAGCGACACAAAGCCCGACTCAAGGCCGAGTTCACGAAAGCACGTGTCCGCTACGGCTGTGCCACGGTCCAAGAATTCAAAGCTGCCGTGATTCGAGAGAAGAGAGTCGCAGATGGGACGAGCCATTTCGTCTACCCGCGGTGGGTGCGAATTAACAATGTTCGCACGACGCTAGATGAACAGCTTGAGACGACTTTCAAGGCGTATCGGCGGGTAGAGACGTTGGCTGAATTGGCGACTGAGGAGGAAGGCAAGCCTGAGCCACGACTGTTTATTGATCCTAATATTCCTGATTTGGTGGCTGTGCCTTTTGGTGCGGATTTTACCTCTTCGGCTGCGTATAAGAATGGTGAAATTATTCTGCAGGATAAGGCTTCGTGTTTCCCTGCGTATCTTCTTTTGGGGGATCGGGGTGCTGAGGATGCCTGGGAAGGCGATTTGGTTGATGGGTGTGCGGCGCCGGGTAATAAGACTACGCATTTGGCTTCTTTGTTGGCTAAGCAGCAGAAGGGGAAGGCCAAGAGTGATCAGATGATTTATTCCATGGATGCATCGACGATGCGCTCCAAGACTCTGCAGAAGATGGTTGGTCTTGCGGGGGCTGACTCTGTTACTGTATTGCAGGGTCAGGATTTCCTGGCTCTTGACACGGAGGATGAGCGTTTTGCGAACGTCACTGGTTTGCTTCTGGACCCCAGTTGCTCGGGTAGCGGTATCATCGGCCGTGACGACGTTCCTCAGTTCACATTACCTACCTCACAGTCCAAGGGTCCCAAGTCGCATGGCAAGAAGCGCAAGCGCGAGGACGAAGAGGCCATCGAATCAAAGGCTACTCCTGGAACAGCACAGGCCGCTCCCACTGACGAAAATGATATCGCCGATGGTGTCGACCCGGAGCGTCTGACTAAATTATCCAGCATTCAAGCAAGGATTGTCGAGCACGCTCTCGGCTTTCCCAGTGCTACACATGTCACGTATAGTACCTGTTCAATTCATTTGATCGAGAACGAGGGTGTGGTGGAGCGCATTTTGAATACCAAGGTTGCCAAGGAGCGTGGTTGGAGACTCCTCCGACGTGACGAGCAGCCTGATGGCTTGCGCCGATGGAGCAAGCGTGGTGTTCGTGAGGAAAAGCCTGCTGAAGGCGAAACTGGGCCTTCTGGGTCGGTGAAGCTTTCCGACGAGGCATTGGAGGCTTGCATTCGGTCCTGGCAAGGTGATGCGGAGGGTCTTGGTGGATTCTTTGTTGCTGGCTTTGTCCGCGATCCTACCCTTGCTACAGTTGCCCTAGTAGAGACCGAGGACGAGAACGAAAAGGATGAAGGGACTGAAGCCGCAACCGCCGAAGAGGAATACGAAGACGAGGACGAAGAGGACTGGGGTGGCTTCTCGGATTAGACAAAATTAATACCACGCAGGCTGGATCCTGCCGGCATCTGTTCATACATTCATTCTAGCGTAATTGTAACTCGGACTAAAGGAATGTACGCGATCGATTCCGAACCTGTGCGCTGGTATAAACGTCCAACTTGTCAGCGACCAGGATGACCTCCCATCCAGCATGCCCATTCTGGACCTGCAGTCTCCATTGTCCTGTGCGAACAACCCACGGAGCATCCGATCTATCCGAACGTGATCTTTTAGCTGAAGGCTCAACAGCTTCGTCTTTAGCCATCAAATGCTGACCTGGCTGACCATCAATAGTTACGTCTGCATCGTTATTCACGCGGATGTTCATCGGGACTTGGCTCAGTGTAATCTTCGAGTCCAAGTTCATCTTTTTGCTTATTGTTCCCAATAGACTGATGATCCGTTGCTTTGTCAGACCGATAAAGTCGACGCCCATGCTCTCCTTGTGGATGATACTGGTTTCCTCGCCAATCTCAAGAACCAGATCAGCTGCCTTCTCATCTACAAAGGGTCGCTTGTATGTCACTACTCCACCAGCTGTGAGGGACCCCTTCTCATCAAGAGCCGACTGCACCCCAGAGGGCCGCACATCCTCCAGTCGGATGATGATTTCCGGTCGTTGAGTGAAAGGGTTCGTCGTGATCAGATGTGGTATCAACTTTTGCTCCAAGCCACGTAGATGGAAGTATCGACAATCGCGCAAGAGTGCTGCGCGGTGATCCTCGTTTCTAATATGAAGAAGATATCCACGCAGTAAATGGAGGAGCTCGTCAAATACATCGGCCGACCGGTTCGGCACGCTTGGGGGCACGATGGCTGGGGGTCGCAGCAGGCCCTGGCGATCGAGTCCTGGAAAGACCTCGGAGGGGGACGCGAAAAATGCTGCGAATCCGAGTGTGAAGAAGTTCGGTGAATCACCGGGACCGGAGAAGATATCGCGGGGGATCTGGAAGTGTCGGTCGCCGATCTGGATGAAGCATTCCGATTCGAAGAGCTGGGACATCAACCGGGGTACTAGAACGTTAGCTAAAACCCTGTCAGGCTGACGGGGAGCCTTTACACGTGTAGAACTGGGCATCGGCGAATAGTTTCACGAATTGCGCGCCGTCTTGGGGGCGGACATGGTAGCCTGCACCGCGTCAGTCTTCGCGTCGGCGATGACGGAGATAAGGATTACCCTGTAAATGTCTGGCGATCTCGCGAAAGGTAGTGGGGTCCCGATCGATGTACAGGGTTCGGATATTAGATGCATCTTGGGTTTGAAGTAATTGGTCCTCGAAGAAGCGCGAGAAGTAGGAGGGAGCTGTCGGTCAGCGCGAACGGACACTCCAGGGCCAGGGCGATTACCATCAGAGGCGAGTGAAGCACCTGAGAGACGAAAGAGCTCCGAACCAATTTGAATGGGAAACACCTTCTCCGTGGGCAACTGGCAGGTGCGCTCCATTTTGGTTTGGGGGAAAAAGCGATGGTCTCTGGTCACCTGCTCTTCTCCCCTCACTTGTCCTCTCTGCACTATCTTCCCTATGTCTCCTTTCTACCCCTGGAGTACTGTCTCGCATCTTCGTCGAGCTCTACAATTACAATCCACCGCATACTTTCAAATGTCACATCGTGTCTACGAAAACTAGATCTGACTTCCAGGATGTTCAGATGTTCAGATGTTCACATGGTGGTAAAGCTCGGTCTCAGCCGTGATCATCCCGATCTTGACCGAAAACGGATGGTAGCAGTTTGGCTGCAGGGGGTAACGGCACCTAACCAAACCGCACGAGGAGCGCTGATCGCCCGAACTGAGATTTCAAAGTGACCTGATTGGCTGAAAGTGAAGCTGGAATGTGTGAAAGCACAAGAGATGCACGTTCGCCCAACCGAGGTCATCCCCGGATTATGGAATTTGCAATTTTGGGTTCAAAGATTCGAAGATCACAAAGAATGAGGGTGCACGCCCGACAGATGGGCCCATGAGCTTGTCAGCTTATTTGTCCCCGCAATATTCCATCTGATCCTGACATTCCTTTTTCATTGTCTTTTACGTTGGGTTCAGTTAAGATGCCCACCCTCGATGTATCTGCGTACACACCGCAAGAGGTTCCACTCCCACCAGCAAAGCCTGCGAACTTCTTTACAGAGCTACAGTGGAAGACATTCTTCGCACTAGCGGATGCAGTTGTGCCTGCAATTCACACCAAGGCAACATCCAAATCGTCGAACGACCGAGTTGTCTCAGACGCAGAGTACAATTCCGCTGTGGCCAGCTTAGCAACTTTGATCTCGGGGCCCGATGCAAACTCTATTGCTACTCGATATCTGCAGGAAGATGTGTCATCTAACCCACTGTTCCGTTCCACTGCTGCGCGTATCTTGAGTGACCACGTTCACGACGAGGGCAGGAATGGGGTCGGGCTCGTCCTAAGCGCACTTGGTTCCCGCGCTGGCTCGTTGGTTCTCACCGGTTCTACCACGCTCATCCATGATCAGCCGATTGAATTCCGGGAACGAATCGTCAGAGGATGGGACACCTCTCGGTTACCGCCTCTTCGCGCAGTCTACCGAGGACTGTCCGCCATCATCAAGAAGTCCTGGGTGATGACCAGTCCTACCATTGGCCCCGTTTTAGGTTTCCCACGTGTGCCTGTGCATGGGAAACCCGCCGCCGGATTTGACTATGAGTTTTTGCAATTACCCCCAGGGGACCAACCAGAGATCATTGAGACCGACGTTGTCATTGTCGGAAGTGGCTGCGGTGGCAGTGTGGCGGCTAAGAATCTTGCCGAAGCTGGTCACCGGGTGCTAGTTGTGGAGAAATCTTATTCCTACCCATCTAATGCGTTCCCCATGAACCCAAATGAAGGGTTCGTCAACATGTTCGAAAATGGTGGGGCGATCTTCAGCGATGATAGCTCCATGGCCGTTCTAGCGGGATCGACCTGGGGAGGTGGTGGTACTGTGAACTGGTCGGCATCTCTGCAGACACAAGGCTATGTCCGACAGCAATGGGCCGACACTGGCCTGCCTTTCTTCACCTCTTGGGACTTCCAGAGGAGTCTTGATCGGGTCTGTGATCGCATGGGTGTCAACTCAGACAAGGTCGAGCATAACGCTCAGAACAACGTCATATTGAATGGCGCACGCAAACTAGGATATGCCGCCAACACAGTGCCCCAGAATACCGGCCACGGTGAACACTACTGTGGTTACTGTACTCTGGGATGTTCCTCGGGGGCAAAGAAGGGCCCTACGCAAACCTTCCTTGCGGATGCCGCCTCGGCCGGGGCCAAGTTTATGGAAGGTTTCCAGGCTGACAAGGTGATCTTTACTAAAGTCAAGGGTAAACAGGCTGCCTCCGGAGTGAAAGGAACTTGGAGGTCACGAGATTCATACCTCGGTCTTACCGGCACCGGTGTGGTGGAGCGCAAAGTCATCATCAAGGCGAGGAAAGTAGTTGTGTCCGCCGGAACACTGCAGAGTCCTCTTCTGCTCCTGCGTAGTGGGCTGAAAAACTCTCAGATTGGCCGCAACCTCCACCTTCATCCAGGTAAGTTTTCTCTGTTACACACGGATACATGCAAAAGTATTGACCATTTCAGTCATGGGTGGCGGTGCAGTTTTCGATGAGGAGACTCGACCCTGGGAGGGCTCCGCACTGACAACGGTGGTCAATGAGTTTGAAAATCTGGATGGACAAGGACATGGCGTGAAGATTGAGGCAGTCTCAATGGTGCCATCCGTGTTCATCCCCGTCTTCCCTTGGCGCAATGGCTTGGAATACAAACTTTGGGCCGCCAACATGCGCCGAACCACCAGCTTTATCACTCTGACGAAGGAGCGTGACCCTGGTCGTGTTTACCCAGACCCTGTTGATGGTCGATGCCGCATCGACTACACCATTTCAGCATTCGATCGAAAGCACATAGTCGAAGCCATCATCGCCAGTGCTAAGATCGCATATATCTCAGGTGCCAAGGAGTTCCATACCACATATCGCGATGTTCCACCGTTCATCCGACCCCAGGCCTCGACTCCGGAGTCCCCCGAGGGGACTAACGACGCAGCTCTGCAGAGTTGGATTGCCGAGGTGCGTCGTAAGTCCCCTCTCAATCCGGAGCGTGGTCTGTTTGCCAGTGCCCATCAAATGGGCACGTGTCGCATGAGCAAATCGCCCAAGTCGGGCGTGGTGGACCCGAACTGTCAGGTCTGGGGCTCGGAGGGACTTTACGTTGTGGATGCCTCTGTCTTCCCTAGCGCGAGTGGCGTTAATCCTATGGTGACCAACATGGCGATTGCAGATTGGGCCAGCCAGAATTTGGCCCGGGTAATGGGAGGTCATAAACAGGGTAATGTGATGGCTCGTCTGTGAGAGTTTCCAAAGTTCGAGCCGCATGCCTGAACCTTTTTTTTTTTTTTGTCTATAGCTGTCTTTCTATGCCTATGATATCCAGTCATCTATTGAATAAATCCATGGATGTATTTCCCACATAATTGGAATGCAGCCAACGCTTTTGATTCGTTTCACTCTATATGCTTTTATGTTGCTAAATTAAGAAGGGGGAGCACTGCGCTTATCGATGTACTTCTTCTCACCGAAAGCCTGCTTAACACCCTCAGTCTCAATAGTGCGCTCATACCAAGCAACAACAGAGGGGTACTTCTCGCGATCCTCCTTCTCAATGAAAGTGGCGAAACCCCAAATAAGAGCAGCAGCAACAGTGATATCCGCCAAGCTCAGCTTATCACCAACAAACCAAGTCTTCTCCTTCAAACAGACTCAAGACAAGCAAGCGAGCGGTGCAACTTCTCAGCATTGGTAGTCTCATTCTTGGCATCATAGGTATAGATACCCAGTCTCCACAGCGCAAGCTGGGAAACGGGGTCCAAGACCTCACCCTGGGCGTAGCAGATCCATTGACGGATCTGGGCGCGCTGGGCAGGTGTAGCTCCAACCAGCTGGTCAGCGGCGGGGCCGCTCTCGGCAATGTATTGGGTGATAGCGTCGGATTCGAAGAGTGTGGTGCCGTCGGCACCTTCGAAGGCGGGCACTTTGCCCAGTGGGAACTTGGAGATGAAGTCGGGGGTGCGGTTGGTTTGGCCGAAGGTGAATTCGGGGACGGAGAGTTCGAGGCCGTTGAGGTTGGCTGCAGCTTGGGCCTGTTCGTGAGTTAGCTTTGCATTAGTTTGGGAGGACTGTGCTGTGGCTTACCTTGACAACCCGGGGGCTGGGGGTGTAAGAGTAGATAGTGCCGAAAGGTGCCATTGTGGATGTTGATGAGCTCAAGTGTGTGGTGAGAGGTGTAAGCTGACAGGTACTTAAGTACCTTTATGTGAGAACCCTGGGAAGACCCCGCGGAAGCGGGTGGAACCCGATTTCTAAGCATTGCGGGGCGGAGGGAATTCCGCATTGTTAAGCAGTTTCTATTCTTATATTTTTGTCAGGGGTTTATATTGAAATCCAATATGCGGTGTAGAATATGCTAGTATAATCTGATGGGATCTGTCCAGATACTAAGCAATTAATAAATATTGAACGCTTCAGTTCAGCCCAATCTCTATAGAAACCAACAGCCCTCCGGGGCTGACCTAAATCAGGTCTCAAGGACTCGCCAAAGCCCATTCAAAATATTCCAGTGTTCAAATCTTACACATTCAAGACCTTTACGCCTTGATCGCCTCACCAAGACGCATATAGTTCCAGCAAACTGCAATCATGTTAGTCCAATCTCTGTCAAGGATCACCTAGAACGTACTGGTATGGCCCATATCCTTTCCAAACAAACTCTTCTGCAGATCCTCGCCCTCCCGAGTTCCCTCGGCAGGCGTGTAGCTCACAGCCTTATGACCAATAGCCAAGCCCATCACCGCCGGGAACGGTGACAGGGTCTGGTAGTTGGGCTTTTGGCCGGTGCACTCCTCCAACATGTGCTCGTGAATGTTCATGGCAGCATAGTGTCCCATGTGCATGGCACCACCGCACCGCTTGATACCTTCCCACTCGACCAGATCTCCCACAGCCCAGTGGTTATGGGGGTTGGGAATGGGGCCGGAGAATTGCAGTCTGTGAAATTAGCATTTGTCAAATAATTGAGAACGAGGTTAGGCTTACGAAGGGTGCACTTTGATGTATCCCTCCTCGTTCAATGCCTCCTTGGACAAGTATGTCGAGGTAGGGACAGATTGCGAGATAGCGTTCAACACATGGCCAGCAGTGAGTTTCCGGCCATCGCTCAGCGTCAACTTCCAGACTCGCGCATTCTCCTCGTCGACAGCAGTTGTCTCAATAACACGCTGTCCGAGAACCACCTCGACACCTGTATCGAGTAAGATGGAATGAGCCCGCTCCGCAAAGTCATCCGGCAACGGCTCAGACGACAACAGACGGTTTCGCGAGTGAATAAGCGTCACCTTCTGCGAGGGATTGAGAATCTTCAATTCAGCCGCCATCTCCACACCAACAGCACCTACTCATGTTAGCTGATTGCCATTACCAGATGCAAGGAACAACCTACCTCCACCAACAACCACAACACCATCACGAGCATTCTCCACATGAGCCATATGTCCCTCCGCCTCCTTCAGGAATTCATCCCGTCTCAAAGACTGCGGCACAGTCGGGAAGGAGCGACGCAAACCAGAAGCAGCAATTAAATAATCATACGACTCAGTGCGATCATTCTTCTCCGAATCCACAATATGCGCAACCTTATTCTTGAAATCCACCGAGCTCACATTTCCCTGAATGAAACTCAGATCCGGACTCTTCAGTCCCGGAATATCTTGGAATCGAGTCCATGCCTCGGCTGCGAATTTCTTACACGCCAGTGCCTTGGGCGAGCCAATCAAATGGACTACTTATATTAGCCAGTGCAAAGGGTCCCAAATCTACAGAAGCAGAACTTACAGTATCCATCGCGTTTATCGACGATGGTTATTTGGATTGGGACGCGGTGTGTGGGGGGTTTGGCTTCGGGGTTATATGTGAAGCGGGGGACGCGGGCATTGGAGAGATCTATGAGGCTCAGGGCTGCTGCGAGACCACTATATGAGCCGCCGATCACAAGGACACGGTAGCTGCGGGAGACTGTTCGGACGAAGTCGTTGGAAGGCATGGTGGGAGGTTGTGAGGTTTGAGAGGAAGGGAAGGGGAAAGAAGGGGAAAGGAAAAGAAAATTTCAAAGGAATGGGAGCCAAGAGTTCTAATAAGACACGAGAATATAGCGTCATATAACTAGAAGTGCGGGTCCTGATTCTTATCAGATTGACAGCGACATCGGATTTTTGGCCTTGGCTGTTTCTGATCCGATGGATGCTGTGAGACATTGGTAATGGTTGTTCTGAGTTGGGCCGAAACTTTGGAATGACTGGAATATAACAAGTTCATTGTGTCATAGTTCATTTGGAATATGGAGGGTCACTTCTCACATAAGCTTCATGCCCAATCTCCAAATTCCTGCATCCCAAGATTACCGGGGTAGTCCAGGGATGTGCGGCATGACGGTAAGACGTTTATGCAGGGACTACAGCGAAGAACCGGTGATTTTGTGGAGCTCTAGAGTACAAAGATACCTGACATTCATATTTGAAAACCATTAAAGGGACTAGGAGGAGAACCTTATAGATCTCCATCTGATAACATGGATAATCTGATGATCTGATAATCTGATAAGATTGAAGCTTCGAAACTTTGAAATATTTCCGAGGCTCGACGCGGGAGGAGAGTAATGTAACGTATTGAAAGGTCCATAATTACTTACAGCCACACACTCCTCATTAGGCAATGATCATCGATCAGACAAGATCGAATCTAATCTGATTCTGGGAAGTGGAGCTTCCGCGGTCGGAACCGACATTGCTGAACGTGTATTGTACTGTATTCGCTAAGAAATGGCGCAATTTGCAAGTCGCGGCCCGCATTTTATTACGTGAAATCTGATAAGGTACGCGTCTGCGAAATTTCATTCCGGGCTTTTTTCTTCCATTGGCCGGTGTTTTGGGTATTATTCACGTCTAAACTCTTTATCGACACATATATTTACTTCCGCTGCGCCAAAACCGCAGTCGCCATATCCCTCAAATCAACCTTACGCACCTTTCCACTACCCGTAACAGGCACCTCGCTAGACGCCCCCTCCTCACCAAACACAAACACATGCTGCGGCGCCTTGTGCCGACCAAGCGTCTCGCGCGTCCAAACCCTCAATTCATCATCAGTGGGTCGCGCCGCACCCGCCGCGACCGCAATGAACGCCCCAACAACCTCTCCGTACTTAGGATCCGGAATCCCAATAACAGAAGCGAGTTCAATAGCGGGATGAGCGGATAGCCTCTCCTCAATTTCAAGGGGGTAGATATTTTCGCCGCCTACAGAATCAGCGTCGATCACCTTGCAAAGTGGAGCGTGGAGCGAACTTACCGCGGATAATGATATCTTTGAATCGTCCCGTGATTGTGCAGTATCCCTCGGCATTGAATGAGGCTTCGTCGCCGGTCTTGAGCCATTTCACGCCCTCGGAATCCGTGATGAATGTTTCTGCTGTCTTCTCGGGGTTGTGCCAGTATCCTTTTGTGAGTTGGTAGCCGGACATGCAGAGCTCGCCGCGCTGGCCAATTGGGACGATGTTGCCCTGCGCATCGATGATCTTCGCGCGTGCGTGTGGTAGCACTTTTCCGACTGTTGTGAGGCGTGTGTGGATGCTGTCTGTTGTGAAGGCGTTGAAACATGTTGGCGAGGCTTCCGTCAGGCCTGGGCTTGTTAGCATGATGGAACAGTAAAACGATAGATCGATCCTACCGTAGCTACTGGTATATTCTGTCATATTGAGTTCCGCAAAGAGGCGTTTCATGAGTGGTCGCGGAACCGGAGCTCCTGCGATAATACCCGTGCGCAGGTTCGAGGTGTCGAAGTTGGCAGGCTTGGGCACGCTCAGAATAGCCTCGAACATGGTCGGAACACCGTGCAAAGCAGTGCACTTCTCATCGGAGATGGCATGGAGCACAGCCTTGGGATCGAAGATTTCGCCAGGGAAGACAATCTTGGCGCCGTGAGTGACAACGGCCAACATGCCCAAGACCAAACCGAAGCAGTGGAACAAGGGGGGAGGGCAGCACAAGACATCGAATGAAGTCAGGTTCATTCGATCTCCAATAAATCGAGAATTGTTAACCAAGTTGCTGCGCAATAATTAGCATGGGGAAGTTAGTCGGCGAATTCACATCATTCACATACTGGTGCGTCAACATCGCAGCCTTAGGGTTTCCCGTTGAACCACTGGTAAATTGCAAATTGCAAACATCATCAGGGCGCAATTCACTCTCACGATCCTGCAGCAAATGCGCCTCTTGCGACACACCCCGCTGTATGACTTCCTGATAACTAGCGAAATTCTGGTATTTTTCACGCAGCGTAACAATTTCCTCCAGCGATTCCGAAGTTCCCGCCTGTTTAGGGTTGGGGCCAAGTTCGGATAAAACCTCCTCGAGATTGTGGCGTCCAATGCGCGGGGTCATGAAAAGCATTCGGCATCCTAAACCCAATTAGCCAAGTAATGAATACAAAAAGTGGATCAACTCACCACTATGATTCAAAGCGTAATACAGCTCCGAGGGGGTATACGTGTTGTTCAGGACCACCAGAATAGCTCCGACCCGAGCCGCGGCAAAGAACACCGAGATGTATTGTTCACAATTGCCGGCCATGATACCAATTCGATCTCCTTTTTGAATTCCCGAGGCGAGCATGCCTCGCGCAAGACGATTAGTCTCGTCTTTTAGTTGGCCGTATGTCCATCGCGCTCCTGTCCAGGGGAATACGAGACATTCTAATCTTCCATATTGCAATGCTTGCAATGTCAACAATTCGCCCAATGTAATATCCAACAGCTGTGGTTCTGTCGGACCAGCGACAACCGACAGCTGTGGACTCGTTGGAGGCTGAACATGCGACAGCGTCTGCTGCAATCGCTGTACACTTCTTGGGGCCGCCATGGTTTGAAAAATTGAAAGAGAACGAGGGAAAAAAAACCAAACTTTAGGAGGGGAAAAAGAGCGGGCTTATAGATGTAGCCGATAAAACCGCGACAGGATCCATCTTTTTTTTTTTTTTTCTCATTAAATTTCTCTTTAATTTCAATCAGATATGCCGGCGTCTCCACTTGTAAAATCAGCTTCGACGCGTATCGGTAATAACGGAGGTTCTGGCACTTATGCTTGGCTGGCACAGTCTCTTGGCGACAAATAAGACTCCACTGCTTCAAGCGAATCTTGGCATTTGCAAAAAGCTCCGAGTTTTTTTGTTTCGATGGCTTTCTCCAATACCGCCCTAACCACGTTCACATGTTCTTCAAAAGCCATTGTCCACGGGTGTTGACTAGAACGCCGATCCTTTCCGAAACATCGTCACCTCTGAGACATCTCTGCAGGTTCAAATTTTTACCTCTCCGGGTGGACTGATGACGGAGACACTTTGGACCGGGGAATTACCCGTAGAGGTGGGTTTTTGCAGAGGAATTGTATCTTGTAGAGAAACCAGACATGACTATTAAAGTCGTTATGTCTCTTGCAACACATCTCGACCGTCGGGGATCGTCAAGCTTACTTCCGTTCGCGGCAGTATAATCCGGAATCAGCCCGGACCTGCATTTCGGGTGTACTCGTACAGGCTGAGAGAAAAGCAAGCGAAGCTAAAAGAGAAGGTCAATACCCAGGCCTCGTGGCTTCCCCACCCATGATCAGATAAATTCTGCAGAAATCCATGCCGTTATCAATCAGTTAAAATGGTGGAGTCCGGACCTGTAGACCTGAAGAGCTTTTGGCCCGGACCATACTTCCGAGTTGGGGAATACTTGTACATATTGCAGTCCAGATCCCGACCTTCCGAAACGAAACTTGCTCTGCCCTAGTGGGCCGGTTATAGCCCGGATCATCTAGGGATCAGCTCTGACAGGGCTAGATTTTTCGTATTGAAATAGTATTGAAATAGTATTGAAATAGAACGATTATTTCTTAGCGCAGCAAGCGAATGCGCAGAGTCTTAAAGTTTCTTGGGAATTTGCGACAGTGTTGAATACGAGTTTGTGCGATCTAATCAATCCTGATCTAATCAATCGTTCCCGACATCGGCTCGTGTTGGCTCCACCGGAATATTACGGTATGGATACAGACACTGTATTGAGTCGAGACCCTTGCATAATACCTGCATGCTGATGTGCAACTTAAATGAACAGGGTCCATAATCCTACCTCGGTTCTTCAGCTATGGCTCTCTACGAGGTAGTACAAGTACATGCTTCATACATCTTCTTGTCCGCCAACGTTGTGATATGATTCCTACCCAAGCTAAGAAAATTGCCAGCAGCACATAAGGGTAGATTCGAGTTATTTCAAAGGGCCTGGGAGAGTACGGGAGTTGAATGTGATGGGGTCCAAAAAAACCCATCGAGCGAGCCATTTTGATATTTGTCGCAACGAATAGGCTTTCGAGTATGCAGCAATCGCAAGGGTCAGACACCTAGAGGCTGTTCGCTTTGTTTTCTTAGGCAATTCACATGATGAGCTCGCATAGAAATCAACAGAGAGACGAGTTATAATAGCGAAAACTTTGTTTAAGAAGGGCTTCAAATGACCATACGATAAGACGATTTATGTCGGCGAAAAATCGGTCTACGATAAAGGACGATGCGTTTGGAGACTCATAGAGGATTAAAGGAGCGAACGAGCCCGGGGAATTCTGAGGATCTATCAAAATACATTGCTAGATACTCCATGTCACGAAGGAAAATCCTACTATGAAGAAGGGTCCAAAAGACTAAGACATGAAAGCTAGAGAGTAAGATGAATAAGAAAAAGAGGAATGAGATGGCTGCGTTCTAGCTGCGCACGTGGTGCCCTTCGACGAGGCGCCTGGGGAAGGGCAGGGAGCAAACGAGCAAGCAAGCAAACATATGGCATGTGATGCATGACACCCCAAGTCAACCATTTATTTCGCAGATACCCTGTCAGGCGCTGATGATTGATCAACGTAGAATCAGGAGAGGTGTAAACACGGCGATGACCAGTCTTATCGGGCTCCTGGGGGTGGAAACCTCTTCCACCCTTCCATCATTCCTCTCAGTATCATTTCCATAGCTGTCAGCTCTTCGTAGCCGACTCTTAGAACATCCCCAAAGCAAGTCGAATAATGACAGTTCCAGCGGTCTTTCAAGCTCAGCGATTGATTTCTTAGGCTCCGAATACCCACAGCGTGATAATTGTTTCAGCGAACAGCATCTTGAGTGAGTAACCGTCTTGCTGTGTTCTTCAAATTTCGTCTCCCAACAGAGAGGGGAACAGCTCGACATCCTCTCGGAGCTCATTGAACAGGCTGACAAATGTAGCAAATGTCATATCTGACGGTTCCGTTGATGATTCCATTGAGTGGAGTCACTCATAGATCTCCTCAACCACCTCATCTCCGCGACCCAGGTCCTCCAGGATCCTGTAAAGCAACTGCCGCCATCGCGGGCGTATGCCATACACATAAAGCATGTTGATATGCCTCTGTATGTGGCTGAGATACTCGCTCGTAGACTTGAAATCCCTTCGTCGCATGGTTCCCGACCTTTCCATCTCGACTATGCCACGGCAGGGTGAATAAATCGCTCTAAACCACTGAAGAACGTCACAGAGTAGGTCATCCGCGTTTCTTGCCCATTCGGTATCGGCTAGACCCCATTCGATTTCACAGCGCGTGTCTTCATTCATCATCACTGTCATCCAGTGTGCGGCGAAACTAGACCATCTCTTCCACTTGCTCCTATTGACAGTACCTTGATCCGGCCGCACGAGATCATACTCAAGGACCTGTTGGATTTGAATGGTTGACAATGCCTGGTTCACATCGCGCCTCCAGCGTAGAAAATTTGAACCGTCGACTTTCAGCTTTGGAATTGGGGTGAGTACGACTGTCCGGATGATGGCTGGGTCTGGTAGCCTGTCTCCTTGGTCCCTCCAAGGCATACCATCATTTTCATCGTCACTGTCTGCTTGTAGTCCAGCGTGGACAAATCTACCCACGGAGTCGAAGCCATTGTCGTTGAATACGGGCGTGTCTTCGGGGGTGAGCAAGGACTGCCCTTGAGCATTTTCTGGGGCAGACATTGCTGGATTAATGTGTTATCTGCAGTTGGTGATTAGAGCTTGTAGGAGGTAGACGGTGATCTGGTATCTGTGACGTACGAGATCCTTTGGGTCTGTGTCAATTTGTTGGTTGGTTGCTTTGGATATTGGCCAGAGTCGGAGGTGGTGGGCCAGTGTTGTTGACCCCAAAGCTTCAAAGTGACGTGGATTGATCAACGATGAATCAGGAGAGGTGAGAACACGACGATGACCAGTCTTATCGGGTTCGTGGGGGTGGAAATCTCTTCCACCCTTGATCCGGCCGCGACAAGCCCTTCTCACGAGCAAGCAGAGGCTTTAGAGCATAACAGAGGAGCGGGGTTGTAGGCAAGGGTAATGTGTTGTGAGATGAAGAGAAGAGAGTGGAGAGAGAGAGAGAGAAAGGGAGGGAGAGAGAAGCTTTGTGAGATTCATCAAGCTACACCTGGGCAGGCACTGAGGCTTAAAGCCCCAGACAGCCTGGACTCCGACACTTCAACACGATGGATTTCACCCAACGTATGGGTTATTGATCTATATACTTGCAGGACTGCACATGCCAAGGCCGAAGAGCTCGGACCAGGCCCACATCTCCGTCGTTCCCCTTGTTTCGCGCCCCGACCTCGGACAACTGAGTCCTCCCTGATCCCGCACTCCGCTGACGACTCGTACTTCGTATCCGCCACTCCGTACGCAGTCCCGATACATTATGTGCCTCTACTTGCAATTATCTCGGTATAGATCCGCATCAACGTTGAAGATCTACACTTCGGTACGGAGTGCACATTAAAGGCAGTGCAAAATCTCATTCAGTCGGGCATTACGGACCGAGTTGCACTCTGGCACTATGCCTATCAGCGTGCCCGATGAAGCCTCAAATGAGGGGCGCCGGAAAAGCGGGTCAACTTAAGCTTCTTGGCCAAGCGGACTAGGGACTTTCTTCCCTCTCAGCACGAAAAATCCCATGCAAGCTTAATCAACCTGAAAGATGAATCTAGCCTAACGAGAATCGGTGCCGGATAACGTTCATAACCGATGCTAAAAGTTTCGACAAGTCACTAGTGTGGGTATCTGCCGTTCGTTCATTGTCATTGATCGATACACTATGTAATCCGTGAAGATCACACTCCATTTTCTTTCCCTTTCTGGTCAAGCTCACCACGGAGGTCGAGTCGCGGACCGCACTTGGCGATCTTCACGGACTATCCTTGAATTTTATGCAGAATGTCCTGTGCACGAGTAATATCTTAAATTCCCACCCGTCCCTCTCCCGCCTGAATCTAATCTGATCCTTTCCGAGATCATTTAGCAAGGTTTGAATTGTAAGTCTCAGAGAGCACCCACGGCCTCTGGGGGACTCTGCTTGATTGAAGCCAAGTCTAACGTTTTTTTGTTTTTTTTTCCCCCCCAAGTCTGATTGAAAATTATCCGAATCACACAATGCCTGTCACCCTCAAATCCCAGGCGCTGGCTTGGGGCACTCTTTTGGCGGTGCTGATCCCCCACTGCTCAGCATCCTCCTTATACTACAACGAAACCCGTTATGGAGTTGTACATGCTTCGGCTGCACAGGACATTTATTCCGCGGAGTACGATGCTATGTTAGAACATGGTGAAAGCGAGGAAGGAGAGGTATTGGAGAGCCCGCTGGCGACCAACTCAGAGTGCCGTCTAACAATTTCATCCACAGGATCATGGAAAGATCGACGTGCCAGAGGGCGCCAGATTCACATCATTCAAAATCAGTGACAAGGGCGATGAGGAAATTGCAGGGTTCATCAGCAAAGATTTGGATGATAAAACAATTGAGCATCTCTATATTGTTCTGCACGGCAAGCTCAGGGATGGAAATAC